AGTCTCAATAATTGCGCCAAAAGCTAAATGGATGATATTCATTGTACTTTTTAAACATTCTGAATGACTCAATATTGACATTTTTATATCAAAATGTTAACCAGGCTATATTTGACTTCATAATCAGTGCAGGGTAACAAAGGTCAATTTATTCCTCAGTTATTTTACGCCGCAAAAAAAAATCTGTGAAATATACGGTAAATTACTGGCAGCTGTGGTTGCCAGAGGTTTACCGTAAAAAATATAGTGACGCCGTATAAGACATTACGGTATGTTTTTTTGCACCCGTAAAATTCCCAGTTGAGAACAGTTTTGTAGAGAAAAACACTATTAAAAAAACAGATACACCGTAAAAAGAAATCCGTGAAATATACGGTAAATTACCGTTTTCTTTGTATAAGACAATACGGTATGTTTTTTAAAAACAGCATTTATTCTGAACCTAATTAAGGTATGGTATGAGTTACGGTATTTTATTACAAAGTTCAAAGCAAACTTCCAACTGTATTTGCCAGAAATCCATTGCAAAAAAATAAGGTATAAAGTATTACAATAGGTTGGCATATATGTCAGTCAACATAAGGAAATATTAAATAAAGCTGATGGTAAATCAACATCCAGGAAGCGGAGCGGTTCGGGACCTTCTGCTTGAGGACTTGTATCCTCAGGTGTTCACTGCGGATTGGGATGATCCGCTCTGTAGCCCAAACACAGAAACAAAGGCAAAGTTAGATTGATGCACTGCTTGAGCAGAGACACATTCACTGCCTACTTGCGTTTAACTGAGCTTCAATGACCTAGAAGAAACCAACACTCTGAATATAATTCCACTTTATAGTTAATCAAAATTAATAAGAGTCAGGTTGAATGTTAAAAGAGGACCCATTTTAGCGCAAAGGCATCAACGTGGCAAAAAACAGGACAAGGTGAACAAAGACAGTGTCTAATAGCAGGTGGCATGAATACATAGTTATCACTCTGACGACAGAACGATCTGGCGCTGAATGGCAGGAAGACGGGGTTGATGTAGGAGAGTCCCCTGATTGCTGATTGCCGTCAGCTGTTCCAGCCACACCCTTCGGGGATGAACACCTCCTTGCAGAGACAGAGGAAACACAGGCAAAGCAAATAAACACAGGGGGAGCTGCTGGACTGACAGCATGACATTCACTCTCAAGACTTATCTTCACGTTTCATGTGGTTCATTTTTTAAGAACCAGGATAACTGCACATCTAATTAATCCCATCAATTATACATTTTTGTATACATTTTGTGTGACTTGTGAATGGGGATTTGACCATGAAAACGTTTTTACATCCACTCACTGGACAACTCACAGCGCGTCCTTCCAAGAGATGCTCCTTCAAATAAGCTATTAGCTGTTTTGTATTTTGACACTGACGTTCACATAACGCCACACCGCATTTGAGAGCTGTCCCGACAGTAACATTAACAGAAGCTGATAAGTTAAAGATATGTGTCCGGTAGAAATGAGCCTTAAATGCTCCATATCGAACAAAGGTATTTTTGCAACCAGCTTCAACGCACTTAAACAAACAACGTGGTTCATTTCTATGAAGTTTGCAATGAAGCACATAACCCCTCTGTGTTTTAACCGAACTGCCACAGTAATTGTATTGAAACATTTACTTAGCCAACATTTGGTAAACTAATGTTAGCTAGCTAGCTAACGTTCAGTGCAGAACAACGTTTTTGCGACGGTTATATTTCGGTTGCCAGCACAGTAGTCCGTACATTTAACAGGGACAGATTATATTTGGTAGAGGAGGAGCTGGAGGCGGAGGAGGGATCACCGTCAATTGGCCTGGTGGAGGTCACTGAGGTAGTCAAACAACTCCGCAGTGGCAAAGCCCGGGGATTGATGAGATCCATCCAGAGATGCTAAAAGCAATGGGTGTTAGGGGGTTGTCTTGGATGACACGCCTCTTCAACATTGCGTGGAAGTCTGGGACAGTGTCAAAAGAGTGGTAGACCGGGGTGGTGGTACCCCTCTTCAAAAAGGGGGACCAGAGAGTGTGTGCCAATTACAGGGGTATCACACTACTCAGCCTACTGGGTAAAGTCTACTCTAAGGTGCTGGAAAGGAGGGTTCGGGCGAGAGTCGAACCAAGGATTGAAAAGGAACAATGCGGTTTTCGTGCTGGTCATGGAACAACGGACCAGCTCTTCACTATTTCCAAGATCATAGAGGGGGCTTGGGAGTATGCTCATCCAGTCTACATGTGTTTTGTGGACTTAGAGAAGGCGTATGACCGGGTCCGCCGAGAGAAACGGTGGGAGGTGCTGCGGGAGTACGGGGTGAGGGGGTCCTTGCTTGGGGCCATCCAATCCTTGTACGCCCAAAGCGAGAGCTGGGTTCGGGTGCTCGGCAGTAAGTCGAAGGCGTTTCCGGTGGGGGTTGTCCTTCGCCAGGGCTGCGCCTTGTCACCAATCTTGTTTGTGGTTTTCATGGACAGGATATCGAGGCGTAGTCGGGGGGAGGAGGGTCTACAGATCTCATCTTTTTGATTGATCTGCTTTTTGCAGATGATGTGGTCCTGATGGCATCTTCCGTCGGTGACCTCCAACTCTCACTGGAGCGTTTTGGAGTTGAGTGTGAAGCGGTCGGGATGAGGATTAGCACCTCTAAATCTGAGGCCATGGTTCTCAGCAGGAAACCGATGGATTGCCTACTCCAGGTAGGGAATGTGTCCTTACCCCAAGTGAAGGAGTTCAAGTACCTCGGGGTCTTGCTCACGAGTGAGGGGAAGATGGAGTGTGAGTTTGGCCGGAGAATCGGAGCAGCGGGGGCGGTATTGCACTCGCTTTATCGCACCGTTGTGACGAAAAGAGAGCTGAGCCGGAAGGCAAAGCTCTTGATCTACCGGTCAATCTTCGTTCCTACCCTCACCTATCGTCATGAAGGATGGGTCATGACCGAAAGAACTAGGTCACGGGTACAAGTGGCCGAAATGGGTTTCCTCAGGAGAGTGGCTGGCATCTCCCTTAGGGATAGGGTGAGAAGCTCAGCCATTCGCGAGGAACTCAGAGTAGAGCCGCTGCTCCTTTGCGTCAAAAGGAGCCAGTTAAGGTGGTTTGGGCATCTGGTGAGGATGCCCCCTGGGCACCTCCCTAGGGAGGTGTTCCAGGCACGGCCAGCTGGGAAGAGGCCCCGGGGAAGACCCAGGACTAGATTATATCTCTTCACTGGCCTGGGAACGCCTTGGGATCCCCCAGTCAGAGCTGGTAGATGTGGCCCGGGAAAGGGAAGTTTGGGGTCCCCCGCTGGAGCTGTTGCCCCCACGACCCGACCCCGGATAAGCGGTTGAAAATGGATGGAGATTATATATTATATTATTTAAAGTTATAAATGTAAAAATGAGTGTTTTTCATAATACGGTGTATTTCCGTTATCGGTACACTGAAATAGATGCATTAATTACGGTTTGCGCTGATATATACATATACGGTATTTCAATGTGATAGAAAGAAAAAAAAAAAGACACAAAAGACACAAAAGACCTATTTTTAATCAACGGTCTTTTACCGTTGCGATTTAACAGTTTATTACCGTAAAATCAACGTACTTTTTTACAGTGTAGTTCTCAAAACTGATGCTCAACTCCTTAATGTATGATTCTTAATGTAACTTGATTATGTGTCATGTTGACGCAATTAGAACAAATAATGACATTTTAATAATGATTCATGAAATGATCTGTATAAGGATCTTATACAGATAAGATCTGCTATGAAATTCAACTTGCCTGTACGTATCTCAAATGATTCACAGTCAACAGTCAACCCCATGACTGGGGGTGGAATGTTCAGTCCTGTCATGAGCACAAGCAAAAAGACATTTGTTGTAATAATACTTATGGATAGCGATTTTTTTAAGCGCCGGCCATAACTCCTCCCTCAGACACAATTTAACTGAACAACAGCAAAGCCATTGACTTTCTCCCAGGACAGGCCTGGGTCATATTAAGTAAAACCCTGGCTCAGCATCACTAGTTTGTTTGTCACAGATTGGTTCATCTTCATGGATCGAATGATGTTGATTTTCATTCGGTAGAGGGTGGAGGAGATTTAGCAACGACCAGGATAAGGAAACTATGAGAGACAGTGAGAGTTCAGTTTGGGAAAGGACATGTGAGAATGAGCAGCGCTGTCTAAATTAAGAGTAAATTTGTTGCGTATGTCTATGTGTGTGCATCCAAAGCAAAGCTGTATTGTCCGAGGGATAGAACATTTGCCCTTGGCTTAGGTGGTCAGACTCCAAAATAATAACACAGAAAAATCAGGAAGAAGTCACATATGTATAATACATTTAATTAATTAATTAATTAAATGTTGGAATGGAAGGCAGTAAATGTGAAATTAGCAGCATGTAAATAATTCAATAAACCTACAGTATAAAATACATTTTCTACTCTTTTGATGGCCAAATTTATATTTCTGTTGTTTCCGTTTTGGGTTAATTGCTTCCCTTAAAATCCCGTCTGATACCATAAAAGGTACATAATGCTGAAAGATATATATTTTCTATAAAGCTCAGCCTGCAACCAAAATCAATTGCATTAACGTTCAAATCTTTTACTGTCTGTACAGGGTATATTTACAACAGGGCAGCGGTGACAGGGGTTATATATGTTTAGAAGTTCTAAGCTCCTTCTTCTAATGATCCCTTTTCTTATCAGAATTAGAATCATTTATTGGCCATGTATTTATTTGCCTATGCTTTTAACGATTTATATCAAGCACTATATATTTTTCACTGCAATCCTTTCAAGATCAATACAATGGAAAAATATAGATATACACATCTCTCTCTCTCTCTCTCTCTCTCTCTCTCTCTCTCTCTCTCTCTCTCTGGATTGCAGTTCTACTTCCACAACGTAGTGTTTTCAGTTTCATCGCGGATGTAAATCGCAGAGAGAAGACACACACACGCACACACACACACACAGATACACACTCAAACACACTCGTGCCCGGCAGAGTTCGGCAGATGGAGCCCTCACTCCAGCAGCACGCACGCAGATGAAAGTGACTCCCTGCAGGGGTTTTGTAGTAGTTTCAGCTCCTGTGACACTGCGGAGAGGAGCCTTCGGTCCCGGAGAGCACAATGACGCTGTGAAGCGTCGGGTTCTTCGTCCGGTGCGCATATTGAATACGACTCGGACCACGGCGCGCGCTGACGGAATATCAACGTTGTCTCGACTTTAAAAGATTAGTCGGATATCTGCCGCCCCCCCACAAAAAGACGCAAATGACAACGACAGACAATTGGGCGAACTTTGTATCCGTCTTTTCTTTTCTCTAAGTGCCATTTGTACCTCAACATCGGCTGTCAGACCCTTCGGTGTCGCGTGAAGTTGGAGATGCGTCGCGTGAACCTCATCTCCGAACGGTAGGCGATGTTTTTACTGGTATCAGTACATTACACATTACATTACATTACATGACATTACATGCATCGTGGAATAACGTAAGTAAGATGGCAAATACGGTTAAAACTTATAACTAATGCTTCCAAAAATGTGGCGCGACTGTTGCTTCACTGCTTTTCTTTTGCACGAGAACGCCCGCAGCTGCATAATTAAGGTGATACGGGTCGTTTACTTTGTCCTGGTCCAAACTCAACAAGTGAAAAAGGATCACCTGGCTGAGATTTTCATTTTGCAGTTAGGTGTCCTTTCTCCTTTAATTTGTTGAAATGCCGTTCAGTAATAAATACAAAAGAAGGCTATAATATAATTTTATTGTTTATTTCTTGAGGTCATGACCCAGAGTCATCAGAATTCAAATGACCTGCCTCAATTACCTTAATCCGCCAAATTGGCAATACAACGTTGTTTTACTGTGGTAAACAGGGTTGATAATTCTGTAATTCTGGTCTTAAGGCCTCATTGTGTGTTTCTAGTGTAGAACTTCTAATTCTGCCTATAACGTTGTTGAAAAGTTTGACTCATTCACTACTAGGCAACAAATGTTAGCTTGTTTTGCTGGACCAAGTGGGCGGGTCGCTGCGTTGTCTGAGTGTGTGTGCTGTATTACGATGGAAGCAAAAATTGTTAGATCCCACCCAAGCCCCTTCAGTCCCTTAAAAATGAAAACACACACACACGTACATGCACAAACACACACGTTAGCCATGCATGGAATAATGCTCTTGTGTGTCCAGGATGGGATGAGGTCACAGCATCGGTGCTGTTGCAGGGATACGGTTACATTACTTTTATGCGGGCCATGCATAAGGAATCGACACCACCTACGCTCTGTCCCTTTTGCTGTTTAGATCACTGTGAGGGTGTAAATGTCGGCTTGTGGGGATCCTTGATTGTCTCGGCAGCACGCAAATAACGTATCTATGTCATATGTGTGTGTTAAAAAGAGTCTGTTGGTCTATCTGTTGCTCGAACAGTAGATCACAAAGGCCCTTTTGCTCAGCCTGTGGGTTTGGCTTCGCTCCAGTCATTAAAACTAAGAAGGTGCACTGAAGGAAACTTTGCTGCCATCATCTTAGACAAAAGGCTACTTTTTTTGTTTAACAGTAGAAATGTGAGAATTTTATTCTCTTCCATTCCAACGTGATCTCCAAAACCTGTTCGTAAAAATGTATATGAAAATCTTGAACATACAAATTCGTAACAATACATACGAACTGGCGGTGGTTAACCACGCCCCTTGAGTGAACAACATGGCCGACCATGTTGGATTCTTGAGTGAACGTCTCTCCGCCATGTTGGATTTTTTGAGGGGGTTAGTATTGTATTCTTACAATTTAACATTGATTTCTCGTTAAAAATGCAATCATAACACGTTAACTTTGCATCATTAGACTTCACGAAGTGTGTTTACGGGGTGCAGGTCCCCATTCACTTTGAATAAGGTGACGTCATCAGTTGCGGTCCGTATTTATTTAGTATGTATCACTACGAATTTGTATCTTCAAGATTTTCGTATACATTTTTACGAACAGGTTTTGGAGATCAGGCTGTCCATTCAGTTTGACTGTGTTTTTTCTACATGCTAATTCAGTCATTTTGATATCAATGTAAGTTGGCCAAACCAGTTGTAATGTAATGCTTGCAATTTATATAATTTATCAGTATTGTTTTCACTTGCTGTTGTGGTAGGAGGCTGGTTTCACTTTGCATTGAGTAACCTGCTAATAGAAATTCAAATAGGGTCCCTAAAATGTCCCCTAGAGTCAAATCACAGATAGAGTCTTACATATATCCCGAAGTATGATTTTTGTCCATCAAGATTCAGAAAACCTTGGTTGTATTACTAAGAAACAATTGGGAATTCATTTTCAGTCAGCTGACCGATGGGAAAACAACTAATAGCATCAGCTCTGGATCTCCCGGCAGATTATCATTTCTGATGTATTTGACCAGTGGTTCAACCCTAGTTGAGTAAACAGTCCTTTTTTTGACTGCAGATCTTTTTATTTATAAACACAACAAGGGCAAAGACATATTTAGTGATCAGGCATCATCCATTCACGCTCTACCCATCCTGGGTGAACCTTTGTGCCTCAGGCAAGCTGTGGAAATAAATACCAACCTTTTCCCAGAACCGATAACCTTTAAAAGTCCTCAGTGTTTTCTCCGTGTGAGCCACATTATTGCACTCACAATAGGGACAGTGTTCTCAACCAGCCAAAAGCCCAGATCACATTTCCTCTTCCTGATTTAAGATCAACTCAGTTGACTACTGGTACGAGCTGCTCCTCAAAAACACAGCAACAAGAACATCCCTCTGTTTTGGTATTATGCAAGTGTGTGTGGGGGGGGGGATTCAGGTTTATAGCAGGGGTGGATGGATTTGGGTGGACAGAGTGCACAGACCACTGACCAGGATCAGTCAATGTTGCTGTTGAAGTACACAGACGAAGTTGCGTGGAGTTCCCTTCAGGTCAAATGTTGGTTCATGTATTCATTTGCATCATTGAGGGTGGGGTTAAGTTAATAATTTGTGTGTGGTGTGTCTGACTGTCTGAACAAGGGTGTGTATCAGCGTTAGTGTTACTCTCTTATGAATGATGAGCAGGTCATGAAAGTATCAGTGTGGATTCCTTTGAGGAGTAACACATATCCTAGCTGTCTCATGCCAACCTTATGACAGCTCGCTGAGCCAAATTTAACAATGTTTCCCCCTCCGAAAAAGATGATCTTTTGCAACCCGCAGGAGAAAACAAATCAACAATTGTCAGTCTGTTTCAAGCTGGGGAATCACACTAAAGAGCATGCTAGCTTGTGACACCCTCATATACAAATAACTTCACAGTGAACTGGCTGACCCTTCATCGTTTTCCCCTGCTCCTCAGGGACACAACATCAAGAGTCTCATAACTGTCTGACCTCTGATCCTTTGGTGGCTGGGACATTACAAAAGCGCACCAATGACTCGGAGAGAAAGAAAGAAAAGGCTACAGGATGAAGGAATGGCATGTTTCCTGTTCAGTTGGAATCTATGTCTTATGTCATGGGGTGTTATGTTTTAACTTCACAAGCCTTGGGAGGAAAAGGAAATGAGAAATGCTTGATTTTTGTGAAACAAATCCCAAACATCTTATAATGACGTACAGGCCAGGTGACACATTTTGGGCATGACGCCTATAAAATAATTCCTTATTCATATTATTTGTAAAATGCGTAGTAGGATTTGTTGATTAATGGAAAAGTTGGTGGACAGATAATTAATAAGAGACCATTTTGATACTCGAATGATTGTTTGAATGAATTCCTACTCACAGACATTGTTCCAGTTTCTTAAACGTCAGCATTTTCTGCTTGTCACAATTGTGTCATTGTAAATTGAATATCTTTGTGTTTTTAGGCTGTTAATCCTCACCTTGGCATTCACGTATCTACTAACAATTTATTTGACAAAACTGGAGCATGGCAATATATCATCAGATAATGTTCATAGTAGTCGTAGTGAACTCAATTTCTCTCATTTGCAGTACAGCTGATAAATATGCGGTTTATGGACAGCCACCAGCTTACACAACAAACACATACAAAAGCATGTTTGGGCAATGGAGGATGCTATTAATACACTTATAAGCACACACACATACAGAGAAACACATGCCACACGCTCATAAAACAAGTGGTGTGATGCTATTAATATTTTGAGAAAAGGCAATTCAACGCAGTCTCCCAAAACACGTGCACTCGCGTGATTACTGACAAAAGCACAAGTGATCACTGACAGGTGACACTAAAAATAAACCGTCATAGTTACATATACTGGAACCTGCACAAAGAGCCTCAGTGCTCCTTCAAAAGAAACAAATGGGCACTAATAATACATTGGTATCAACACACGGCAGCAAGTGTTCATGCACCCTCAACTGTCGCACAAACAGATCCTACTCATGCAAACACAAAGACCTGCTGTGTACACTCAAATGAAACAACTGAAAGCTATTAATATCTTGGCGCGTATAGGACGGACACACACAAGGACACGCTCATTTAGATGCACTCATACGGAGATTGATACTCCAGCTGCTCGGAAGCAGAGGGACAGAATGTCCCCAACAGCTGTGGATTCCTTCAAATATAAGGACATATGAACGCAGGGATGGTGGGCCGGAGGGAACTGGTAAAGGTTACCAGCATGTTGGATAGCCGTCATTAAATTGCAATCGTGTGTGTCTGTGTTTGTGTGAGTGGATTTTTTAATACATAGCTCAGTGTCAGCCTGTTAAACGTGTTTGTAAGTTCATTTGTTTATAGTTCCCATTACAAGTACTCTCTGAACTTCTGCTCTTTATCAGGCTTTGTTGCGACTCTAACCACCCATAAACCTCAAGCCCGTTTCCATTGTTTGTGTAGGTAGCACTTCACCTAATATTTGACTTTCAGTCGGAACTTCATCCAATAGCACCGTGGAGTTCACTCAAACAATAGACAAAGCACATTTGAGGGCAACAGTGTGGATATAAATACTGCTAAAGGGACATCTGTAACTCTGAAGCTGCAGCATTGAACCAGTGAAGCCATTCAACTAAAATAGCAGCTCTGCTTGTCTAAATGAACCAAGAGGATGTTATGGTGCAGACTAACTTTAGAAACAGGAAGTCACTGTTTCTCTGTGCGTGTGTGTGTATGTGTCAGTGATTCAGATGTTTTTCTGCACAAGCCTCACAGAAAGAGGATGATGGTTGTGAAACAAATATGCTATTACAGAAACCAGAAGTTTCTCTCCTGTTTATTTTTAGCACCACAACGTCCAAACGAGAGAGACAGAAGCACACACAGATCTTATCTTTATGCAGTTCTCTTTAGTTTTTTAAACGTTCAAGATTTTGTCTTGTAAATAGAATATCTTTTCATTTTTAAAATGTCCATCCCGCATGTTTAGAGCACAATCGATGAATAGCAGACCATATAAAGCAATGTCTTAAAATACCTCTACTATTCTACTGTGATATAGAAACAACTACAAACTGTAAATGTCCTCTTCGAGTCACCTTTTTAAACCCTTCAGTGGCATTGTGGAGGACACCTTGACTCTTCAAATGCATCAGCAGTGACTGAGCTGGTTTTGTACTGAGTTATGTTTCACACTCTAAGTCACAACTTCAGTATCAACACATTGAAAACATTTTAAAAATACATATATGTCAGTTTGGACCCTGTGCCTCTGGGAGAACACTTTGTGTCACATTGTCGTTGGCAAGTTTAGATTTGCATTGTTGATTCAGGCCTGTCTTCACTTAATTAGGTGAAAAAATAAAACACAGGTGTTTCTTTTCTGTTTATGTGAAAGTAGCACTGACTTCCTGATCATTTCCTTTCTGTCAAGGGAGCCAACTTGGTTGGTAATTGTGTGTTGTTGTGTGTGTGTGTGTGCGTGTGCGTGTGCGCTCGTGTGTGTGTGTGTGTGTGTGTGAGAGAGAGAGAGAGAGGGTGTATGCAGATCATTTGAGTCCCAACCACCATTAACACCACAGACCCACTGCTCCAGTGATTGATTTCCTCTGAAAACACAGACATTTTTCTGGTAACACATACTGTTCCGCTACAACACCTATTTCCTGTTGCACGTTCAACATTTTTAAATAACAGAAAAAATCAGGCATTTCAAAAAACACGCCTTCAACTTCAACCCTGACACTGTTACGCAGGCATTAACCTGTGAAAAGTGTTACTGGTTTGAATATTTCTGAGATTGAGTTACGTGGTAAAGTAGGATTCCAGTGAAGCAATAATTATGTTTATTGCAGGAATCATTTTTAAGGATGCCTACTGTGTCTCTAGTAGGAGCTGTTCAAATAAACTAATGATGCAAAAATCATCACATAAAATATATATATATATACAAACTTCTTTTTGTTCTGCTAGACAGAATACATGAAAACACATCCAACAAACCAATATAGTTGTTGTTGTCTTGTTAGGAATTCTGTATGTCATCATCAAGCATGAAAGAGAACTGAAACTAACCGATCAGTCTGTATGATATATTCTTGTACTATAAATAGTTCTGGTTATTAACTCCACATTCATTTTGTTCATGTTCTACTTGTGTAAATCTTGAGCTGCAGTAATGAGAGCGTGGGAGTGTTTTCTTCTTTAGAGGAATTCTGTCAACCCCTAACGCCTTCATGGACATGGTTATTTCTCTCTGAGTCAGGACTGCTTTTGGAAAGAGGGTCAAATAACGCTGCCTGCGTCTGTAAAACTTACAATAAGGCTCCTCTAGGAGGGAAGTTTACTTGTGTGCAACCTGTATGGAAGTTTGATATGAGCTGTGTTTTGAGTCAAACTGCTGAAAACGTCCCGTGAAGTTTTCTCTCTAGTAGAAGTGAAGCCATTGAACTGGAGGTAGTGTTTTACTCTAGTTTACAAAGAACAATCACACAACTCTAGAAACACAATCTGCTTGATTTATCTCTATACATGTAACTTTGGAATTTTTATTTTGAAGTGGTTTGACAATGTAATCTATATTTGAATCCAAAACAACTCTCCGAACGAGGTAATCATTTCAGTAAACTTCCACATCCTTCCCTCCATCCCTCTGTCCCTCTACCTCAGAGAGAGGAAGGTGTCTGTTTCCATACTGTATCCGTCTAAGCTTTTGTATCGGCACTAAAGAATTCCTCACCATGGTTGTTGGTTTCATGTTTCAGTCGCATTGACACTTGAAAACAATATCGTGAAGTTATCTCGAAACTTGCAGATTTCTGTTGACTTCTTGTTATGGAGCATCACAAAACCTGGGAAAAAATTGGGATGATGTTTCCTCACTAACATGTATCATTAGTGTTCCTGTTATGTTGTATAAGTAGGTCATACCACCAGGCCTATCTTGCGCCATGCATGTCACAGTTGTATCCTTTGAGTTGAAATGTAAGGTTGTTTAACATATCAGGCTTTCAATTGTGTAAATGGATCAAAACCCTTTTCACTCCCCCGCACCTATAAAAACATCTGTCTTTTGTTAGGACAACCAAAGCTTGTTTAAATTGTCTTACTAGTGCTAAACTTAGATTTGTATTCCTTTCATTTTAGCAAAACATGGAACGGAGATGACAGATTGATGTACCTGACCCAAATGACTTGACCACACAATGTTCAATTCCAACCACCACCCGGTTTCCTTCATTATTCTTTCTTTCTTCTGTGCACCTCCAGACCCAACACACAGAAACACCTCTCTCTTTTGCTTCCCTGAATGCATGGTTGGACAATAGCCAGTTCATTTGAGGCAGGAAGACTTGAATGAAATATGACTGGTGAATGAAAGTGCAAAGTTCAAGTTCAAGTACACATCTGTACACACACTTATCCCAAATTAACTGAGTGCACTCTGATCGTTTATGATCGTTTATGTAAAGCACACCTAGTAAAAGGTGCTCAGATTGTACTTGGACGATTTTATTGAACATTTATTAAAAATACTAATGATGCCCAATGAACGGATATGCTGTGTTCTTCTTCTGCAGTGGATGCGATCATTAGTAATCCGGTTACATTATCCATACATGGGGAGCAGCCCATGGACCTAAGTGTGACCCAGAGGTTGTTACATCCAGGCCTAGATCCGGCCATGCTGGCCCCCCGCCCTCCTTTGTTCCTTGGACCCCTGAACTCTCAGCATTGCTCCCAGTTTTCCCCGCGGCACGTGCAGGTAAGGACAAACCAGTAGAAGTGTAGGTTTACAAATTAAAAGCTTCAGTGGCACCAGGGTCCGCTTGTTGTTTATTTCTTGAGTATGTTGAATGTGTTTCACAAAATGTTGCCTTTTTATTTTGCAAATATAGAGGGAATAGTAATTTATATCAAAATATTCTTTTGTTTGGCTGAGTTGTCACAAAAATGTGGCAGTTGCAATGTTTGCCGCTTTTTGTGCAAATCTTACGTGCACAGTCCAAGCCGACTTGGCTGGTCAGTGTTGATATTGCTTTATTTCTTTCTTCTCAGTATAACATTGAACAAAGGCAAAGAGAGATGGAGCAGGAGAAGAGAGAAGAGCTACATCAGCTCATCCGAAAGAGTAAAAATGAGCAGAGTGAGTATCATGTAATGTAATTTATCCTCATGGAATTGCTTCTGTAGGTTATGTGAAAGGCTATTTTTGCTGTTGAAGTGCTCTTCATATGAGTCATAACGCACTTCATGTTTCAATAGAAAGAAGGGGATTTCCTACAGGGCTATGATGTATTCGCAGATTCCAAGGAAATGTGTACCCATATCAAACAAAAAGCAAACAAACAGACTCGTTTCAGGAAACACTGTTCTTAGTCTTTACCGTATAGAGGAAATGAAGAGAGGTCAGAGGAAAGTGACAAATATCCTGGATCCTTCTTCAGAGGCTTGACTTCTTTTTAATGCTGTAGTTATATTCAGTATCTCGAGAGGAAAACTATTCACATTTGCCTATCTTTAACACTTTATATTAAAAGCTCTGTTGTCTCACCGTAGGTCTCATTATATTGTTGTCATGATTCCAATCAATGCCCCAATGAAGTAACTTTATTGACTGGTAGGTGCTGTAGCCAGTCCACTGGTAAAACAGAAACTTCGGGAACACATAATAATGAAGAGCCAGCCTGCCCACAACAACCTGCCCTTGACTCCAAACCACAGCACTCCTACACCCGGATACAGGTGAGAGAGGCAAATGGACACACAGATCAATGATTTGTCTAAATAGAATAGCATAGTATAGCATAGTTCTCCATAGTAGAGAAGGCCTCTCTTGTGGTACTAATGAAAGTCATGAAATCATTTCAAAATAACAACAATGTTTAAATAAATCTGTACTCATTATTTTGGTCTTTCTAGGCTCCCCGTTCCTGACATGTCCCCAACATCTCCGACTATAGCATGTGACCAGCGTAAAGACCTTGCCCTGCGCAGGACAGGTATGATTTTTCTGTTTCTTTGTGTCTGTGGTAAAGGTTCCCCCTTGAGGTCAAAGCCATGAAGGTCCGTGGTGGTTTTACATTTCGGGTCTGTTCTGTTGTCCCGTGTCATTTCAATTCAAATGTTTCTTTCAATGTGAATGAAAGTGGGAGTGGTTTCGTCTCACTGTAAATCTCTGCGAGTACACAAACATTATTTATTTGCGTTGCCCTAGAACCCTTAGGTGCCAGCACACACACACACACACATGCTTTTTTTGGCATGGCGACAACACAAAGCTGTCTTTTATCTGCTCTGAGCCAGCCACTGATTGATTGTTTTGTTTGGGCTCCTCGGAGCCTGACCAATGTAAACATTGGACTTTTTATACTATTGACCAGGCTTGAGGTATTTGCTTGGTTCCGCTCTGTTGCACATTGCTTCAATTTGGTTTTCATATGGAAGTTGAGTGCATCCTCACGGCATTTGAATTACTGGGTGGGAACAGTCCTGCTGATGTGGAAGATGTCTGACATCTGTCAGTTTATCTGTGAGTTCTGTGAGTTTAAAAGACATAGATATCCTTCTTTATGTATACATTTTCATTTGGGATAACAATGTCTGCATCTGTGTGTGTGGTGTTTTTTTGCATTTGTGTATATTTGTATCTACAGTCTCTGAGCCCACTCTGAAGTGGAAGTTAAAGAAGCTCATCAGTACAAGGCCAAACCCGCTGCAGCGTAAGATCAGCGCCCCTCCTGCGGTGAAGCATAGGACAGAAACTCTGGGTAGAGTTATCTACATTAACCTGGATTTGTTTCTTTTATTTCCACTGCTCTTTTTCCCCTCTCAAGTACTTTGATACGCCATTTGTATCATACTTTGTTATTTTGTTATTTCAATGCGTGGCAAGATATTGTAATTCATTTCCATTTGGACATGCGCTACTTTGATGCTGCGTGAACAAATGTATTCTGATGGTGTGTCAAATCTGTCCCCCAGACTCTTCCACAAGCAGTCTCAGCACCCCAGCATCAGGGTGCAGCTCACCCAACGACAGCCTCCATTCGGACAATGGGCACCTCCCAGTGGCACATGAGGTTACACCCACTTTTATATTTACATTGATTAGGGATCAATATCCTGTTCAATACAGACGGCAGGAAGTGTTCAACTTGCATGCAGTTTTCTTTTGTCTTCCCATTGTGGATTTGTTTATAAAATATTTCATTGCTTTCCTTGCTATATTTTTTAAACAGTACAAACCCGATTTATTCTCTGCTTATTTGTCCTTTTTTTGCAAATATTTGTTTTTTGTGTTGGACGATGTGATCATTTGTAAGCAATGGTCTGTACAGATAATCTCCATGCTAATTATTTCTCTCATTCAGGCACAGAGGTTGCTGGCTCATTTCACTTCTCCTCCCAACCACCCTGCAATGCACAACATCACTGCTGGACTTCCTGCTCAGGTGAGCAATAATACAGTCTTCGGTTCCCTTCCAAATGTTTTTAAAAGATTACAGATCACACAAATACGCATGTTCATGAATTTATGCGTATCCAAGACTGAGTGTCTTGGATAGTGCTTGCACACTTGAAGACTTGTGGTGTATTTCAGCTTTCAATTCCCTTTTTGCCTTTATGATGCCTCCCTATCTTGTGAAACAGTAATGTCGAAGTTTGCTCACTTGATAAGTGTCTATAACACGTCTATAAATAGAGATTCTATCTCTACATTGCAAACCGTGACTTGATGCACAAACCCTCCATTTAGCTAATTTGTGTTAAGCTGTAACAATGATGAGGCCTTATCTAATTCCTAGTGGTCTTTCTGAAGTTTTTAAAAACATTTCTCCTAATTTCATCTCTCCTCATAGACTGACCTACGAGTAGCCAGGCCGTTAGCAGTATCTGCTATGCATCAGATCTACATGTCTGTAGACGGAAGCAGTCAAGCCCTGACTCAGCGCCAGCAGCCTCTGCTCATACTGGAACCACATACCGGACTAGTGCATTCCCAGCTTGTCTCTTGTGAGTTGTGTAACCGAATGTGTATAGAAAAATAAATACTTCAAAATGCATATATACAGAAGGCATGTGTGTAGATATGCCTAATACAATTGAATAGGTTGCATTTGCATGCCACCTTCATTTGAAAATCTCAACTTTCTGTCATTGGATATTGGATGACTCCCTAACCTTTTCATGAACCAAATTGACAGACTGCATACTCTTGATTTATGGCACTTTAGGGTTATTTCAAGATCAAGGATCTTACAAAATCCTTATGATGAGCTGACACCACTAGAAGAGGGATTAGAAACCTGGTGCCTCATTTTTTTAGAATGCACCGTTCATACAAATCTGGAAAGATCCGAGCTGTTCTGTTTGAAGCTGTGACACTGAACAATGTTCCACGACCCAATCTCAGCTGTCTTCTGGGTTCCCTCATCTGGTTTAGGGAGGAACCTTTTCCCGTGACTGCTGATATTTGGCAACTGTTTTATTGTTTCCCTGTCTTAGAAGAAAACCGGGATGAACTGCATTCAGTTCAATGGACTAAATGATTCTTACTGATACATTTCAAGATGTAAAGGCAGTAAACATTGAACTGATCAATTCAGGGAAATTTCTGCTCAGACAATTTCTACTGCTGAGGGTCCTACTGAGGTCAGTTTTGTCCTTGGCAAAGCCAAACTGGCTCCTTTTTCCCATTACTGAAGGTACTGTCTATGCGAGTGTTCATGAATGGTGGGTGTAAAATAAAACAATCGGCAGCCTTATCTATAAATGTCTAATGTGTAGGTAACTACGTGGCAAAGTAATATCAATGGAAGTAGGAGACATGGGAGTAAGAGACACATTCTGGCAACAGTGACCCAGAGGAAATCTGAGTAGCATTCAAAACAGCCCAATCTTATAAACTTGCATGGTTTAGTAAAGCAGGGGACATCCCTCCCACCCAACTGACTTCAGACCTGTTTCCTGACTTTCTTTTGTTCTGAATCTTGTAGCACAAGGGAGCCCTCTACTTGGCACTTGACAGGGATGCAGTTTCACAAACAATACAGAAATATGCTATAAATTCCAGCAACATAATCATGATGAAGTATTTTCCTTTGTATAATTATTTTCACCATGGATTACAGCTCTGTGTCAGGCCCATGTTTAAAGAGAGCAGAATGAACAGAAAAAGGCCATCTTTATTTGGCTCAAAAAATCACAAAACTCAAAATCACTCCATGAGGAGGAAAACACAAAAGGTATAAACAGGTTGGAGGAACTGAGTCCATAAACAGAAACTGAAATTCTTATAGAACGGGAGCGGGGAAAAGCAAGACCGAACCAGGCAGGCGAGGGACACCGAGTTAAAGGCGACAGGCTCAGGTTGCAGAATGGTCGGTACACTCATGCACCAGGGAAAGGGAAACACAGACTATAAGACACGTGAGGGTAATGGGAAACAGGTGGACACAATCAGGGATCAGGGGAGACGATTCGACTGGTGACAGGGGCAAGTGACCTGAAACGAGAGAGGGGTTAATCTTTCAAAATAAAACAGGAAATGACAAGAAAAGGCACGAAGACGAGAAAACCCCAACTTGATCTCACCGGGGTGTGACACTGTTGTATTTCACACCGGACTTCACTTTCCACTTGATGAGTATCATAACCCCGCAATTATAACATCTCTCTGCTCATTTCTTCGCCCTATCATCCTGTTTTTTCTTTTAATCCCTAACTCTACCCCTATTTTAATTTCCTTTTATTCATTTGGTATATTTTTTTATCTCCATCCATTCCGCTTGTTTATTATTGCTCCTCCACGTTTAGCCCTACCCCTCTGCCCCCATCTTTATTTGCCATCTTCTAAACTGTTCCTCCCTCTCCACCTTTTGGCAGTTCGTGGTTTGAGTTCCAGTCCTCTCCAGCAGCAACAGCTTCACCTGTCCTCCTCGACCAGAAGGGAAGGCGTAGTTACTTTGCCCTGCCACAGACCTCTGGAGCGAACACGCTCAGAGCCTCCGCCCTACAGCCGCTCACCTCTTACTCTGCATGCCAGCCGCCACCCACACATCCAGCACCAGCTGACCCAGCACTATCACAGGAGTGGACTGGAGAGGTTTAAGCAGAATGCATACCTGTGCAAGGTAAAAGGGGGCAGGTAGCAGGTTCCAAATTGCAAGCACCCATCCAAAAGAGTACTAAAAAAGAAAAACACAAAGTTTGTTCTAAAAAAATCTGGAATCTGGAGTTGGCTTTAGTAACACTGTAAAACCTGTACCTTATATTAGCTGACAATCAAGTCCACTGAATCCCTTGTCTAACACAGATCCCATCGGAGGATATGGACTTGGAGGAGATTGGATCAGAATCAGGTTCGGGTCCTGGTTCCGTGTGCGATTCAGAACCAGGCTCTATGTGTGAGGAAGGCTACCACAGGAGACACAGCACTGCCAGCACCGACTCAGTTTATGGCACAGAGTCCACTGCCTCCTCACGGGACAGCTTGATCGAGCCCTCACACTCACTTTGTCAGGTACTGATATATACTAATATCTGAACACACATGCAGTTTCCAGGGGGACAATATATTACTTTATCTTGAAATACATTTTTACTATATATGTTTAACTGTGTCTAGTAGCAAAGGTTAAAAATATCTAGTTTATGCTTCTGTACATGAATGGAATTCTTCAAAGCCTGTTTTGGACATCAGAGGGCGCTGCAGCTTCATTACTGCAAGATGAAAAGATGGAGGGCTACAGTAGTTTGAAAGCATGTTTGGCAATTATGTATTTTCTTTATCAGTTGCTCGTTCTAGACAAGCATTATTAAATTAGCCAAAAAATGAATGAATGTAATGGAGAGAGACATTGGACTTTTGAGTGTGTGGAAATGTACTCCAGTTAGCCATTTCCGTGTTTTGCTGCTGGTACATGCTCCTTCATTCCCTGTTCTTCTGTTTTACCGTATGTCCTGGGAACCACAGAGGCAAGTGAACCTTAGATCAGGTCTCCATCTGGACCCCATGGCTGCGCCGACCCTAGTTTGGCCTCATCAGCCTCTGGTTCGGACCAAGTCTTCCCCAGCCTCCACTACCCTGCCTCCTTCTCCACATCCACCTGCAACCCTGTCACTGTCCAGCAGTGCAGCAGACGTCCAGCTACGCTTCACCACAGGTGAGGATTTCTTTTTTTATCTGGAAAATGTGAAAAGATTACATGAATTATAATTAATTTATAAATGGATATGGTAATACGGAGAAAAGGAAACAAAGTTTATATGTGTGTGCGTGTGTGCTAGGACTGGTTTATGATGCTCAGATGCAGAAGCATCAGTGTACCTGTGGGGACAACAGCCGCCACCCTGAGCATGCTGGGAGGGTCCAGAGCATCTGGTCCAGACTGCATGAAAGAGGTCTCAGGAGCCAGTGTGAGGTATGACACACACACACGCACTGCACATACTGGCAGATCAATAACCCCAGAGTCAGTATTATATGTAATTTTATGTGTGTGTGTGTGTGTGTGTGTGTGTGTGTGTGTGTGTGTGCGTGTGCGTGTGTGTGTGTGCAGCGTATCCGCAGCAGGAAGGCCACTCTAGAAGAGCTGCAGTCGGTCCATTCAGAGAAACATGTGCTTCTTTTCGGAACCAACCCACTCAACCGCCTTAAACTGGACAACCGTAAGCTGGCTGGTAATATCCATAATAATAATTAAAGAAATCATGACTAGAAAATTCTGATAATAATAATATTTACATGACAATTGAATGACAACAGTCATCCTCTTCAGGAGTCTTATCTCAACGGATTTTTGTGATGTTGCCATGTGGAGGAGTTGGGGTTAGTGCCACACACACACACACACATGCATGTACATTGTACATTGTAGACCCCTTTTAAAACCCAAGTCATGTGAGAATCTAAAGGCTGTACAAAGGTGAGAGGTGGAAGAGAAAGAGAGGAGGAGGGAGGAAGGAGGAGGGAAGAACACATTCAGAGTCTTTAGTTCGGAGGGGTGCGTGCCAGTTAAACTGGACTTTATTTAGAGGGAATGGATGTGGGGAAGCAGTGAATGAAAAACAACATAAATTGCGAAAGTAGGCGAACACAACAATGGACCATGAGAGAAGGGAAAATTAAGAGGATATGAAAGAAGCAAAAGATCATCGCATAACACAGATGAAAATGTGCATGAAAAACTGTTGTGTAGCACAACAAGAAGAGAGGAGGCAGATAAGAGAGTAGGAGAGGAGAGGAGAAAGGATAAGAAGAAGGGGGCCGGGTGTTAGTTGATAAGACGACTGATCTTCCTGGATTTCCGGACCGTGGCTGCTCTGGTGAAGAAGGGTGATTGGAACAAGATGCTAAAGTCTGTGATAAAAGAAATTCCTCTGATTTCATTGTTCCAACGTGACACACCACGTGAGTTTTCAAACATGGAGTAATGTTGAAACATAAGACAGGCTTTAGATAGATGTAACAAAAAGAAACACTACAAGAATACACAATACGAATAATCATGTCATTTGATATTTAAAATTAAAAGAAGTGTAGTCAAAAGGGAATATCAGTTAGCTTGATCATCGTACACCGCACTGTCTATAGTCACCTCCTCATGACAAACACCAGTCAGATTAAATTAAATGTGTTAAAGTATCCAGTGGAACTGTCAGGTGTAATTACGCCAAATGCTGAGTATACAGTATACAGTACTCATTTGAGACTAAAACAACTACAGAAAATACATTTGATTTCTGATTGGACCTATTTTGATTGCATCTTCAATTAACAACTGTTGCTAACTCTAACTACTTTTATCTCGTCTCATCCTGTTTTTACGGACAGGTGGACATTGATACAATCTGGAATGAACTTCACACTTCAGTGGCGTCCCGTATTGCTGCAGGATGTGTCACAGACCTGGCACTGAAGGTGGCGCAAGGAGAGCTGAAGGTGTGTGTTTGTTACCAAATACCTTATCAACAAGTCCCATTGATTTTCTATGGACTTTCAGAGCTGCAGTGTAACAGGTTGAGAAATGTGTGCTGTGTACTGTGCTGTGTAGCTTTAGTAAATCCCCTCCTGTAGAAAGCTGTCTGCAATGGAAAGAGCTTAAATATATGAACTGTGATGGTTGTCCACTGAAAGCATAAAGGTATTTGTGCTTTCTTCTCACAGAATGGCTTTGCAGTGGTGAGGCCTCCTGGACACCACGCAAACCACTCCTCCCCTCTGTAAGTACAGTAGCACACACAGAGATGTAGCCTCTCTATCTCTCTATCTTAATATTTGTGTGATTGTGTGTGTGTGCCTGGGTTTGTGTACTGCGTGCTACCTAGCTGATGCCCGAGGCATTCTACCTCCTCCACTGTTTTTTTTTTAAAACGTTCACGACACACAGCAAAGCCCCTCAAAAGCCACTGTGCATGTGTGTGAGTGTAGAGTATGTGCACGTATTCATGTGCATGGCTGTATGTCATTCTTTGATAGGAGGCATTAGCCAAGTAACCACATTCAGCTGGGACCGTGTGTGTACTCAGCAGTGCTTGTCACTTGTTATTTAAGAGATTATAATGACTTTTCAGGGACAAGTAGATTTGCACAACATGTATGATATGCCTTCCACACATGGATAGAAAAACAAACAAACACACACACACAGACACAAATGCACTCGAAGTTTACGACCCATGCTGACACTGAAAGATTCCTTCATTGTTTTGTTGTTGTCTCTGAAATCCACACACACATATTACACAATTCCCACTGTTATCATTTGTAATGTAGGGTACATTTTATGATAAATCTTTGTCACAAAATGTGTGGGTCCTGCATTCCTATAGATTTTAGACTCGGCATAATGAGATGGGAAAAGCCATTATTGTTTGTCTGCAGTTAAATGTGCAGTACAAAACAACTTGAAACCCCCCTCATCTTTCCAATATTTATATAAAATTCTGGCCTGGCAGGAGATTACCAATGACTTTCCCATTTGAGTCAGTGCTGTGATTGTCACAACCTGCACTGAATAGCCACTACAGGATACATACATAAATTGAGACACTTTTTAGACGAGGCTCCAAAGGTCCCTATGGTGATTCTGTGATAATAATGTGCCAAAGATGTCCAGATCAGAACATGTGGCCGCCTTTCTTTCTGCCTGTACCTCCACAGGGGCTTCTGTTTCTTCAATTCCGTGGCTATTGCTGCCAAGCAGCTTCAACACAAACACAACGTCAGCAAAATCCTCATCGTGGACTGGGTAAGGATCCACCCTGCATGACCAGCATCTCTGGTCCCCACATGAATAGGAGATGAAAACACATGCACTGGCACACAAATGTATCATGGACACACATAAGGCCCCGGTCACAGAACAGCCCGCTACAGTAGCACTTCTATCTATCATTTATTTAATTAAGGTACTGTCATATCTGTTCTCCATGTCAGATCTTTGTCATGCACTGTATGCTTACAGTAGTTACAGTCACACACAGCTTTATGCACACACATCCACAAAGACACGCACACACAGATGCAGAAATTAGTCCGCAGCAAGGTGGTCGTCTGTTCGACATGTGTGTGTATATGAGCCTTTGCCGTTTCTTCACACATACCGTGTTCTTTGACATATTACTGCGCCTAACATTAATTGCTACCTGCTTCATCAAAAACCTTTAAGATTTGGAATACATATGCCATTGACAAGCAAAAGCCTTGCAGGTTTTTCGGTCCCTGCTCTGCATTTTGGGTCATATGGTTTACGTGTAGTCATAATAAGAGAATAGGCAATAAGCTTCTCTTTCATGATTTGTTGAGATTGGAATATATAAATCCATCACGGTTTAAATTATGTGTTTATGTCTGCTTTGGTCCACGGCGACTTTCTAACCTATTATCCTATCTATGTCCAGGATGTTCACCACGGCAACGGCACCCAGGAAGCCTTCTATAATGACCCAAGCGTACTGTACATCTCTCTGCATCGCTATGACGATGGCAACTTCTTTCCTGGCAGTGGACATCCCAGTGAGGTTGGTTGCCTTTCTAAGCAGGGATGTGTTTTTCTGCTTTGTTTCTGTTGTCATAGTGATGGCTGGGTGTGTGTGAGTGTTTATGTGTAACTGGATTATTTTTAACAGGAGAACAACACTTGAGAAGCATTTATACTAAACAGGTTCTCTTTGTAAAGTAGATAACTTTCAAAATAATTCATGGTATTACCGGCAATGTGAAGGTAGATATGTGGGCATAGAAATATTTGGTACTTATTTAATTCCAGTCGCACAAGGGAGGTGAAGAGTGTGTTTAGCATATACTTGTCCAAACAAAAAAATGATTGCAAAGATAATAGAAATGATTTAAAGCCTCCATTATAAGAGACTGTGCACTACACAGGAAAATTGGAACAGGCAAAAATCTATCATGCTATAGTTGGGCCTCAGAGCAGAGGGTGCTGTCAGGAAAAGATCAATCGTATTTTAATTATACTAGCAGACTCTAAAAGCATGTGATCCTGTAATATAAGCTGCTTACAATAGAAATTTGGACTGCTTTTCTCCAAGTTTAACCTGAGGATTTCTTTGAACGTCATTAGATTAGAAAATAAATAATCAAGCTTGTTTGATTTGTTCACTGTCATTCGTTTTGTTTTACAACTGAACTCCATTTGAGCTTATCACACTCTGATTTTGTGTATCTGCTGTAGGTTCCTTTCCCTAGTTCAAGTTTATTTAAGGGCTTTGAATCTAAGAAACGCACAACAGGATGTGCACAGTCGAATTGCATGCCTGTGTTTGCATACAGGAAATTGAGATGCCTATGAATTCTGCCTGCGGTCGTACCAGAAACCAAGTGTGATGACTATCCCCAGTCACATGAACTGACCCCAACCCACGGTGGCATTCACAACCCATTTAATCTCCCACATCCCCTCTTCTTACTCTCCCATCCTCCCCCACAATAATGAGGATAAAATAGTAATGTTTTCCCATAAAATCCCACGATGAGCGACGGTACATAAAACGCTCCGCTGTCTTGGATGTGGCTTTGCCTTAAGTGGCCCCTCAACCTCTGTTGAGTTGTGTGGTAAACCTCTGGAGTCTTGCTGTCCCCCGTGTAGGTATATAACACACCATGGGGTAAGGGTGTGATGTCATAGCCATAACAGAGAGGGCTGAGTACCGAATAGAAGACCAGCAATGGCCTAATCCAGTCCAGCAACTCTTTAAACATGAAAGACAGGAAGAGGACAGAGAGCAGTGCTAGAGACTTGGAGCAATAGCAGAAATGTTGTGCCTGTGTGTGTGTATGCAGCTATGCATGCGTTTCTGTGTGCACATGCGTGTGCATGTGGGTACATTACCAGTTGGCAAAGGACAAGAGGCCTCATGTGTTTTTGGTTTTCATTGTGAACATCCCGTCCACTGAGAGAAGAATGAAGACAGACGGTCTGCGATGCTCATCAGTATTCTTTCAAACATCCTCTCACACCCATAAACACACACACACACACACACACACACATTCAAACCCACACACACAAAGGAAATTACCACGCCTTGTTGCCAAGAGTATGTCAATCACCCTCTTCACTCTGCCCTCAAACTGACGCATTTACTGATAGTGAAGGGCCTTGAGAACAGCTAAATGGCCGCTAGCAGGACTACAAAGAGATAAAACAGGAATCCTTAAACCTTCTTTCCAAGACCGGGGTTTCAGTTCACTCTTTGCCCCAAATATGTGAGGTCAACTCTGTCTGGCATGTCAATCTTAATAAAGAAAATATAATATCCACTAAAATCATTTTCAGTACGCAATAAAATATAGATGAGTTGTGTGGAGTAGTTTATTATTTTAGTTTGACATGTCATTCAGACAAACACGCTAAAGGTATGTATCCAAAAAAAATATTTTTTTCCAGTTTCATACAAGTAATACTTTTTCAATATATAAAACAATATTAGAATAGTTTTTACGAGATCACACAGCAATTTCCAAATGTGAACAATTTCCCTGTGTTGCTGTAATATAACACTTGTGAATCATAACTGGGTGTTGCCTGGTTTGATTTATACAGTCTTTTGACAAATTGTATCAAAATAGAGCGGCAGGGATATCAAATTAATAGCCATCCGTCCCTCATTTGGGAATCATAACCACTCCATTGTGTTGCCTTAAACAGAGTCAGTCACTTTTCCTCGATTGGTACAATGCACGTTTTAGAACAGGTGTGCTTATTTTATGAACACAAATCTGTCATTGTCTTGCAATTTCTCAACTTTCTCTGGGACTCATTCATTTTCTTGACATTCACAGAGACTTTTTCTCCCTCTTAGTCTCACACTCTCTCCCCTCTTTCCCCCTCCATCCAGGTGGGTGCAGGTGCAGGCGAGGGCTTCAATGTTAATGTGGGATGGACAGGGGGTTTGAACCCGCCCATGGGTGATGCAGAGTACCTGGCTGCATTCAGGTAATGAATGACCTTAACCTGTCCCTTAGCCAAATCATGTTTCTCTCCATATGACAATCTATAATCTAAGCCCGTACTGCTGTTTCTGCATGTTCCAGCATTTCATACAAATTAAATATGCTTGCATACGTTACTGACTGCAGACCTGTACAAAAGCATACCATAGGCCGTCACAGGTTTTAGTATGCAACTCAGGTATGCTTTGGATCAAGTTGATAAGCTAATTAAGCTAATAAAAACACCAGATACAAAATAACAAGTGTCTAAAAAGCATAGTATAGTCAGAAGGAACAGGATGTTGTTGGGGGGTTTTTTCACACCAATTAGTGTGTATTCCAAAGGAGCATTTTTTTAACTATTTTTCCATCCTGGTTGCATTGCCTACTGCAATGCAACAGCTATTGGACATTCTTTTTGAGTGTATAATCCTAAATGGATGCTTACTTTCTACCTGTTCTACACTATAACAAACTCTGTCAGCAACATTGGCTTGCCATCAGATGATTAAACATTATGTGAGCTCGATACAGTTCTGCAAGCAGCAAACACAGTGGGTGGTCCCCTCATCAAAGGAAATATGCTAATGAGCTAAGGTAAACTGGTAAAAATCAATGGAGGCAGTAGGCGAGCTCGGAAAGTCCAGAGTTTACTGGAGCGCTGGATGTTAATTAAGAAAAAACTGGTCTCTTCCTGAGCAAGCGTCTGGATTTGGTATTTTCTATCCAGTTTGGGAAATGGCAAGTGTTTTCATGTGTAGAACTTCCTTAGTTTAACCACACCGTAGAGCTGTACCTTATTGTGAGTTACCCAGAGAATCGTTTCCCCGTATCAAAGCTCTGTGGTGGACAAGTGTCCTGGTGGTCCAGTAGTTTGAGGCAGATGCCACATAGCTGGGATGGATGTATGGATGTAGCAGGGCGCATATCCAAAGACCATTTTCACGTGTCCTCTTAAGAAACAAACACCATATACAGCCCGACTATAGAGATTTTTGAGAAGCCAAATACGTGAAACAGATTAGGAGAGATTCTATGGTTGGCCACCCATTATGTGGATTAACTGCTGCAAATACACGTACAACTCGCTATGCAGACAAAATTAAATGCATCATGAATTCATATTTATGCAAGTAAGTATCATGCCGATTCCATAATTAAATTTAAATACACTTGGGTGATGGGACGGTCTAAACTTCTCTTCAGGATGGAACAGCAAACTAGCGATTGTTGGTGATGTGTGTCTCCGTTTTTGGGCGTGTGTTAGTGACAGGGGAAATATTGTGGTCAAGAGTGGTGGTGAGTCTATAGTACAATCAAGAGAAAGCTCAGCTGTGTTGAGATTAAGTGGCATGGCATCGTGTGAGTGTATGTGTGGACGATTACTAAGGTGGTCAGAATTTGGATTCAATTGAATCACCGGTTGCACAGCGCACACATGTAACGTTCAGCTTTGAAGGAAAGGCAAACATATGTATGTATTTGGGCCTGTGCACAGCATGTATATGTGCATGCACATATTTCATGTGCACTTCTAGGTTGCTACTGACGAATGACAAACTATGAAGGAGAGGAGAGCAGAAGAGAAGAAGTGGGGGGTGCATTGTTAGAGAATCCAAAGGCGGCGTAATTAGGCCCAATGGATCCCAGATGGCTGGCTGTCAGTGACGTGAGAAGAGGGACGAGCTCCTAATAGGAACCAGACGCACACAAACGCCTTTGAACTGCCGCTGAGAGGCAGAAAGAGAGAGAGAGAATCAAACGCGGCATGGGCCGTACGGTCTTGCTAAATAACTGGCAGCGGGAGACGAGAGGAAGCGTAGAGGCGAGGAAAGTGGTCTCCCCTGAGGAGAGCGTACAGTATGTGGGCGTCTCAGTCCAGATATGTCAAGGGTCTCGTTTTACATTCTTGTGTCACTCGCAAAGACACAGACTCTCGACATAATTTTCCACCTGCCGATATATGCTTTTGTCTTGTAAACATATCTGGTAAATGTTAGCAGAGCAGTCATGCTTCTTTTTTCAGCAGTACTCCACATTCACATGTAAACAGTTGCACACATTCACACCTGGGAGCTACCCCACCTTCTAGTGTTGGCCACTTACCAGGAGTCGATCAAACACATCAAGCACTTGGAACATGGCCTTTGATAATTTAACTTTCATGAATTTCCAATTGATGGAGTTTACAATGAAGTAAATGTTTATAGTTAAAAATCCAAGGGAAAATAATTATTTTGTTGGAAAGTGCTCCAGTCGCAAATCAACCATCTTGGCTATGTAGCGATTTCAGTTTTCATGTTGTTGCTTTTTTACTTTACAGGCAACGTCTAATTCAGTTTGGTAACACTAATTGTATTCATTCTATTATGTTGTCAAATCAATCCCTCAATGACTTCCTCTCTCACATTATTAACGTGTGTACACTGTTCCAAAAACAAAAACTATAAACAATATGATTACTTATGATTACAATATACTATATAATTCAACTAGGCCACAGAGCTTGATTGAATTAACATAAGATACAGCGCTTGGTTACAACATGTTGTTGCTTCCTCCTCAGAGCCGTGGTGATGCCCATCGCTCACGAGTTTTCCCCTGATGTGGTGCTTGTGTCTGCTGGCTTTGATGCTGTTGAAGGACATTTGTCATCACTGGGAGGCTACAAGGTCACAGCCAAGTGTAAGCCTCAATGTGCCCAACAATTACATACAGCACATTATCTTTAACATACTCTTCCAAACAGAGGTGAACATGGATATGAATCAGTTTTAATACCACACAGAGTTTGCTCTGAAATCATTTTTACTTATCGGCTAGTATAAGAACAGGATGTTGTCACTGGGATATTGGCTTTGTGGACTGCCGTTTGAAAGTTAGACGTTTTAGCCTTTGCCATCTCGGCTTTTTGCAACCAGATGTGGGTAAACAACCTAACCAGGCGACCACAAAGATCATAACTAACTTTTATGAATTGAAATAAAGTCGTGAAAGGGTAAAAGTAAAAACACTGATAGCTCTGATATCTCTCAAAATGTTATAATAATGCCTCAACCTGTCAATCACAAGGAGCCATAACCATACACTAGCATAAGGTGAGTTAAAAACTGAAGGAATTCTTATAATCTCGTTAATTAATATCTGGGGAAAACTGATCAGCCATTATCTGATTCCACCTGGGTATGGGTTTGTTTTCCTCTCTTCCAGGTTTTGGCTTCCTGACCCGTCAACTGATGTCACTGGCCGGGGGTCGGGTGGTCCTGGCTCTGGAGGGGGGACATGACCTCAAGGCTATCTGCGATGCCTCTGAAGCCTGCGTAAGCGCCTTGTTGGGCATGGAGGTGAGATGTGTGTGTGTGTGTGTGTGTGTGTGTGTGTGTGTGTGTGTGTGTGTGTGTGTGTGTGTGTGTGTGTGTGTGTGTGTGTGTGTGTGTGTGTGTGTGTGTGTGTGTGTGTGTGTGTTGAGATATACAGTATTTTCCATCCACTAATCACTTAATTTGTTGGTTTCCAGGTGGAGCCTCTTTCCCAGTCTGTATTGGACCAGAAACCTTGTAAAAATGCAATCCAGTCGCTGGAGAAAGTCGTCCAGGTCCAAGGTGAAACGCTTGAACTGATTGCATTGACAAAGAAATCAGCCACAATTTACCAAAACAATGACATCGTATTAAAACATTTAAACAAGCGTGGCAATAGTCCTGCATGATTCAAGTTCTGAATACATGCCGCTCGCTGCTGCTCCGCATTGAAACCAACTGACTACCTGCAAGTTGCTGCTAAATCGCTTCCAGACCTGGACTGACCTGACACGTTGATACTCTTTAAGACTCACCGGACCAGTATGCTAATCGAGCTGGCTGCTGGGTAGTATATGATAAAACTGTAAGCGTGCAATTACAAGTAAATAAATGCTTAAACAAATAATATATATATATATATATATATATATATATATATATATATATATATATATATATATATGTATGTATGTATGGCCAGGCTTTACTTTTCCCAGTACATTATTTTCACTTGCACTATTTTCACTTGTATTTGCAACAGTCATTGGTGTTATATGTGTTGCTCACCTTTCAATATACACCTAACACCTAACAACACTGAAATACTCTTCATAAAATAGATTATTATAAAAGAATTTACTTATTTTGAGACCTTACAAAATCAGGCTCGGGAGGGGGGGTCCATGGGCATTAATTAGAAGAACACTGACCTCCAATACTCTTGTTGGTGCTGATCCTCTATTGTAGTAGTATTTCTAGTAGACTTTTTTCTAAACCTAATTTGCAGTTTGCAGTCATCCTCTAGTTTAAAGTTGTATCTAACCTGTACCTTTGTATCATTTCTACATATTCTGTGTCAGTGGCCTTTCATTTGTCATTTATCCTCTCCAAAGTCACACATAGCCCGTTGCAGCTCACAATCAACATGTCACATACACTTTGGAAATGTCTAAATAAAGGAGATTTGTAAAATATATTCTTAACAACCGATTTGAAGGGAATAAACAGACTTTCAATCAACATCAACAAGAAAAGAGGCTAAATTGCATGCTTTAATTTGAAGAAGAGACTAAAGAAACACGCCTTTGGTTGTTGTTGTTTTAGAAATTAACGGTTTCTGCTTTTCAGCTAATATTATTTTACATTACAAACTTTTTCAGTTTTAAATATATAATAATTTATTAAACATGTTTAGGTTCTTGATCCAATTAACAGAAAAGAAAATGTAGTTTCTATTTTTACAAGTTGTGGTCTCTTTTTTTCCACTTATCACTGTCCTCACTTTATGTCTTCATTCCTCTCGGGCCACCTCTCCTCCTTTACATCCCTGTCTTTCATCCCTCCCTGCAGCCGTCCCACACACAGACGGACACACACAGCCGCCCTGGCTCCAATTATCTTCAAACACTTCTCTGGCACACGACCTTCGCAACATCCCCTCCTGATTGCATACAAATGTTATCCCAACCAAATTAGATTAATTAAAAATATTTGAAAAGCCACAAGAATGTTAATCCCATCATTTCGGTTTGGGGGGAAATATATGCGAGTTGCATGTACGACCAGAGCACACACATGCTCCTGTGAACACATTTGCAAACACTGATTGATTTGACGTCCCCCCTGTGTCACAGGACTCAAGCCTGTTTACATGTGAGTTTACATTTCTGAAATTATCAACATGGATATTGAGACCAGGGGCTGTTTATATGAGAGCCGGTGCTTGTATTAAGATGAAACTGCTACAACTGGTGTATCAAACACCAAGTACTGCTTTTGAATAATGCATTGCAGGCACTTGACCTCAAGGAACCATGAATGAAAACAACACCAGAATACCAAGAACTGTGGTCATAATTATATTTCTCTTTCTCCTCCCCTCCCGTCCTCATCTCCTCCACCTCTTTTTCATCTTCTTGTATCCGGCAGGTGAATACTGGCAGAGTGTGAAAGATTCGGCTGCCACAGTGGATCTGTCGTACCTACAGGCACAGAGACGGCGGCTGAGACGAGATTCGGACAGCGAGGCCGTCAGAGCCATCGCCTCGCTCTCCATGGGATCTGTTGCTTCTGACAAGTAGGGGTGACGTCTAATTTATTAAATTCGGCTTCATCAACCGCTCTGAATTTAGTATGTCATGAACTGTTCTACTTCTCTCATTCAATAAGGAAACATCAGTAAAAGCTCGCAGATTCTCACTGATGGAAGATCATCCTGACAGCTGAATATAACCAAGTATCTATGGAAACAACTACACACACACACACACAGCTCTGCATTTGGACCATCAATGGAAGCAGATGTCCTCTTCAGTTCAACCACTGTATTCGTTGCCTCATGAAAACTCTTAAGCCTGCAAAACTACTGGCTGCTGTCTGACCGTTCTGGTTCAAACACACACTGAACAACAACATTCACCTGGGCAAAATGCTCGCTCTCATGACATCTCTACCAGCTTTCCTGACGGGAATATCGGTCGCTGAAGGGTCGAAAATAAAAACATAGAACCAATTTAATGAAGCATCTTTACTTTCCTGTAGCAATCGAAGCTGACCACATGATGTAGCAGGAACACACACTTGACAAAGCACAGCTCTGTGACTTTAAACACTCACCTTGTAAATGACTCCAGCAAGACCCGCGAGAGACCACTCAGTATGTTGTAACCTTGAAGCAGAGAACAGAGGTCCTATGGCATCACAGAGCCGATCACTCAGAGCGCAAGGAGTCCTCCGTACAGGAGGTGCCGGTGAAGGTGAGCAGACATATCTTCCACTATGATGTAATTTATCTGAATGTGACAAAGATTTAATGAAGGAATAGATCAGGGGCTTCTGATCGTTTTGCACTGCACCGTTCTGTAATGTGAACTGGACGAGGTGGAGGAGACACAGCCACATCGGCCACGTTGACAATCAAAGATCCGGTTTGTTCAGGTTTTTATTTCAATATCCAGTAATTTCACCTTCTGCACACATTCTTTGCAAATGTCTGCAATTTATTTTGTTGTTGTTTAAGAATCCAGTAAGAGTGAAGCGTTAGTGAAGTCGGAGGTGCATATGTTTCATATCTCTCTGTAAGTCCACATACTGTCTTGGGACAGTCTTTTTCTGTTCTTGCAGATGGCTACAGTTATTGTATGGGCTCCCTTGCAGATAAAATAAGGCACTGCAAATTTTGATGAAGTGCATCTTAAAAGTGTTGACAAACTGTAGTTTTTTATTGGTGGTTTATTGGTCAGAGTGAGTGAGGAAATACCTCTTGCTATTTCAGTATCAGGATCAGGGGAGAAAGACATTAATTTCCCATCAGCAAAGACTCAAATCACCCATGATGCCTCAGTGCAGCGGGACCACTCAGATCTGATTGTATATGTGACAGTACAAATCACACTTTGGATGAGACCCAATCCGAGACTTAATGACAAACCCCACGTTCAAAGTGCACTTACATTTCCCTCAGAATGGAAAAATCAGAACTTTGATAATGTTTCTTCAGTGGACCAGTGTTCCTACCTGTGGATTTACATTCCTGCTGTACTTGTATTTCTTTTAAACTTGTATGTCTTTCATAATGAGTACAAACTGATTGTCCGTTGTTGACGTGGCAACGTTTCGTTTACTGTCGGCAGCAGGGATGTTTTGCTCACCGGACCAAACAATGACATTTTAGCGGTAGTGGGAGCAATAATACTGAAATAGATGAATATCCACACTGTGCAATTGGACACAGGTTATGCAGAACCAAAGTTTATGAGAACAATGTGCCATTCCCGGACTGGCATGGCTTTAAGAACTTCAAAGTCCTTCAAGACTTTGTGAATGTTTTTTCTTTTTTTTTATCCAAACAGTTGAACAGAACCAAAAGCACAGGACGGATATATAAACAAATTCATTTAAAAAAAAATGTATTTATACATTCTGATTCTGTGTCTTTGAAGTGCTCTTTGCATGTCTAACACAATTATGACGGTGCTATGGATTACACTTTTTTAAGTGCAGTACGTTTGCTTTTTTTGTTTCTTTCTTTCTTTATGTTGCATCATGTACGCAACTCGAAACCTGTCAAATATATGTTAACGTAATGAAATGTGAAAAGAAATGATGGTGAGTCTCAGCTCCATATCATGTAGGATAGTTTCAGTGTAGTCTTAATTAAAAATGTGTGACAGTTTCCTGACATCGTATCTTCTTTCTTAATTCATGCAAATTAATTATTTTTGTATTTGATCTAAATAAATAAACCCTGTGCGTACGTAGAGACCAAATTGTCGGCCTATGTGCTGACCAGCCTGTGTCATGGTTGCCTTAACAAACTGGAACTTAATTTAAGCTGGAGGCAAAGTCCAGTTCTCTCTTAACTGACTCTCTGACTTGTTTGTGTACAGTGTAGATAATAACTGTGTTTTCTTTTGTGGTATTTCTTTTCTACTATTTTCTCTGCCCAAAAAATCCTTAATAAAGGTAAATTAGATACATTTGACTATGATTATTTTTCTAGTTCTTGTGGCATTTTCATTTGAACTTCTTGCATCATTCAATTTCAGCGAACCACAGCGCTCATATTGCAATATTCCTTTGATTATCAAAATATAACACTCACATACAGCATCAAGAAAAGTTTTATTGGCCAAAGGAGCTGACACAATGAAGTTTATTAAAAGCAAATACTGAAAAACACAAAAGAAACATGATCAAACAGTAATTAGACTACTTGTGATATCAAATGAATCCTCTATATCATGACTGGGGTCACGCTTTTTACAAGAAACATTCCGCTTTTATTTTGTATTTTTTGCATTATTCAGCGAGAATGTTCACAAGTTTGCAAAGGTTTCTTAAAGCGGCAGGAAAAGGACATGCATCGATCAGATTGTCTTGCATTTTTAAAGTACAACTTTCTGTGACGCTCACTAATAAGAGAAAAGGTGAAGTAAAAAAAAAAAGAATGAAATAGTGGCTGAACTGTAATCGGTGGTTTAACACATCCTATGGGCATTTTTCATTAAATCCAAGTGTAATGCATGAGTTAAAGTCATACAGTGTGCACACACCACATTTACAAACAGAAACGTTAAAAATCTCCAAAACAGAAAGCAATCCAGCTTACTACAGCACAACACAGTAGGAGATCTGCATCGGATTCCTCGTGCTGCTCTTTTTCCCACAAGACGGTGCTTTGAGAGCCAGAGCGATTAGCTTATTAGCATTTTAGCTGTAAACATTCATTGGCTGTGACCGCCCTCTAACCATCACTGCGGCATTAGCATTAGTCATCTTAATGTCTGTCTGGCAGTGAATCGTCCGTTGCGTTGAGTCAAATGGATGATGGTTATCACGGCGTCACCCAAGGCACTCAAACCAGCAGCCATTTTGTTTCATTGTCCACGCAGGCCAGCTGTTTGTATTTCTTCTTGTTTTCATCATTAAAAATGTTTGCCACTTGACTGTCTCCTCAACAGTGTTTTAGAAACACGGAACTGTTGGAGTCAACCTGCAAAAATACATCTCAGTGTCGGGCACGTGTCCAGAGAAAGAGAAAAAAAATGGTTTTGAGAGATTAAAAAATGGGTGGTTATTTGGTCGGGCAGGAACACATTTCTTCTTAGTAGATGTGTAGATTTTTGTTGGTTTTCTGCAGAGAGGAGAAACACAATGATGAGCATTAACGATTAACATTATCTTAGACAAGGCAAGTTTATCTGTATAGCACATTTCAACAAGGAAGTTTCAAGTATTCCTAAACATATGTTCTGCAAAAATAATGCTCCAGTCTTAGATGTGTGTTGAGATAGAAAAGGTGTGTTCAAACCAAATAAGTGACAAATCTCTGCTGCTTTTTAACTTCTCTCATTTTTCCAATAATTTAAAGGTTCTTCTCATCGCCTTCGATGCACGAAAACATATGCCCATAGCAGTCAGATGCACAAACAACAATCACACACACACAATTGTCGCACCTGCGCTCGGCTCACAGTTACCTAAAAATAAGGATGACTATCAGAAACCACAACTTCTGAATGAGACTCTTAAAATGCATATGAGACGCAAAGGACTACATCTGGTCCCTGATCAGTCCGGGGTGAAAGCCAGAGATTTAATATGCATAGCAGAGCATCCAACAGCTGGTCACTCCAAACCCTCTAACACACATGCTCACAGACATGGCAGAGCCAAAAGTTCCGGCAGAGGAAAAAGAAGTGACAAGCTTTTTGATTATAGTATAAACAGAAGGGAGTATTATTTTTTTGTAATTCAAACAGAACAATCCGCCCATTCTAAGACACTAAGACACCCACGCTCATCAAAATCTACATAACTGTCCACTGTATTTTCTTGCGCATTTGTCTGTGTGTGTGTGTGTGTGTGTGTGTGTGTGTGTGTGTGTGTGTGTGTGTGCATGCCATAATCTCACGGAAAATATAAAGGTTCTACTACAATTGAAGTAAAATATCGTGGGGCCTATTTTTTGTACTAATGGTGTAAACCAAGGTAAAATAAATATATAAAAAGTTATTTTCTTTGTTTGTTGGACAAATATACAGTAACATTAACAATTACCTGCAACACATTGATTGATCACAGTTTTAAATAACTGTAAATGTAACTTCATACACTTTGTTATAATGTCAAGTGTTTCCGTTCTTTTATCTACTCCCTACCACCTACCAAGTTTTTCGGCATTCACATCTAGAGTTGATACTGATATAAATGGAATTAATGCATGTATGCACAATTTAATTTAAATTATGCAAAACACACACATACAGATACAAGCATGTATCATGTATCACACTCTCTCTTTTATTTTGCACGGACTCTCCTCTAACCTCATCATCTTTCCAAAACTTAGACATTCAGGCTAGTTTCAGGCCTTGAATTTTTTTTGCACTTTCCCTGCAGTGGCCCCTACAGAGCTGATGATAACAGGCACAGCAGGCAAAGTGGTGGGTCAACTACCGCGCTGCGTTCAAGGACACTCCGTGCACGAGCCTTGTCATTCTATCCGCAGTGCTGAGTGGCGCCCTCGTTGTCTGCTGCTGAGGCGGCTGGTGGTTTAATAATAAGAAAGAGTGGAACACCTGCAGTGTGCGTATGTCTGGCGGCTGCATGTGTGTGTATGTTCATCTGGACATTGTCATATATGTTGTAGTACTTGTGATTCACTGATTCCTGCACATTGAATTACATTTATTAGTGCAAATGCTGTACTTGCTTGTATTCATTTTTATATATATAGAAACTATACATCTAAAAATCCAGTGTTTACTATGACATACAATCTAGCTGATGGAAGAGTGTGTATTTCTTCCAAAACAGCAACACAAATGTTGCATCGTGTCTTGTAATGTATGCTGCCCTATTTCCAAAAATGTTACTGTAAATTCAAAACCAGGAGGAGAGATAAAATCCACAAAACAACATCTGCAAGAGTATTCCTGTTTACTAATCTGCAGATGTGTTCACATAAACACACACTGCACAGGTAATTAAATCTCATGACAAACACACATATAAACACGCACCATTACACGTGTACACACATGCCGTATGTCCGACCCTAACCCTGGTACACACACCTTGCTAATACCTCACAACTGTTTCCAATCTAAAGGTTCCTGCCTGTCTGGGCCCCGGCGGGGCCTGATTGCCCGATACAAGATCCTGAGGAGGGAGGGCAGGGCTGCCGGGGAGAGAGGGAGAGAGAGAAGAGAGAGAGAGAGATGTGCCTCCACTTATTTCTCCCCAGTACCCCTTTCTTTCCCTCCTTTCATGCTATACCTGTGCTGGAATCTGGTGTCTGTTAAAATGGTTGAAAGAACCCAGACCCTGTGTCGATCCTACAGATTCTGGGGGAAAACATTTGTTTTAAATACATCAGAGGTCTGTCAAACACTGGAGAGTTTAGATTATGAGGACTACAATGGGCTGTTAGTTCAGTTTAGTCAACAAAGTGAAAGTTATTTCTTTGAAAAATGGATGTTTCTGTTATTTTAATAGGAATGTGTTGCTTAAATGTTTCTTTATTGTGGCCCTGATCTTTTTATATGCTGGATGTTTTTTGAAGTGGATTTGTTAACATTTCTTTTGTTTCTTTTTACAAACATGGTGATACTTCGATTAGTTTTTATTAGTATATATTTAGCTTTTTTTTTTTTTTTTTGTATTATTTCATTGTGACTTTCACATAACAGGAAATATCTGACACTGACACATTTGCACCCCAAATGGTAGAATATCTTGCAAAAACTAGCACAGAACTAACACTTGATTTGATGACTTCACTGTGTGGGCTACGTTACATTTATTAACAACGTTTGCTATCTAAATATCAACCAATAATTAACAGCATTACATTATACAAAATCTGCAAAAAATGATCTTTGATTTGAGTGTTTTCTGAAGTAATCAAGGAAAAGTTTAACAAAACATATAGTTCAAAACATCAAAATTAGAAACATAATTATCATAATTACAATGTAACTGCCATGCCCTTCACTCAAATGTAATTTGAATAATTTTACATATTTTCATAAAACAGACTTCATGGCTATAAATATAGCACAAGAAATATGCTTTATAGATTGATCAAGTAAGCCTTTTCTTAATTTGCTACATGCCTCTCAATTATTTATATGAAATTGTTTGGGGTTTGGGGTTCAATCTTTAAGAACAGAATGGTATTTTTTATTTGTGCCTGTGTATTTTGTTTGTGCAGTGCATTGAAGGCATTTATTTGTTAAACGGAAAGGCTACAAATGATGGACTATTACGACTATTTTAACATAAAAGGGAAAAAAAAACAGCCATGTGTGCTGATGACATGGAGAGTGTACACACGTGCATGTTTGTGTTTGAATGATGTGTGTATTTGTGTTTTTGCATGTTTTGTCCATACCTGAAGGGCTGCAGTGGAGCGTCTTGTTGCACTTGACAGACTTTAGGACAAGGGGGAGATCAGTGGAAGTGGAAACAATTCAAGACAACAGGTTTAGTTGCTAAGATCCAACTCTGAATGTTAATAGAGAGGAAGTGAACCATTTTGGTGCTCATGGAGAGAGCAGGAATGTATGCCACGGTTTAAGATGAAAAGGTTAAGATCAGACCAAAGGGAAAGAATTCAGAGGGTCAGAGGTCATGAAATGGGTGCAAACACAGACACGGGCGGTGGGGTGGAGATGTGGACACAAGAGGGTTTATGACAGAAGTTCCATGGGATCCTAGTGGCTGGTGGACATTGCCCAGGCGCCCTCCATCCTCCAGACAGAAAAGGCGTAGCTCAGTCTTTCGTGGGCCAGGTAGTTGCAGCTGGCCAGCTTGGCGTCCATCTCGTCACTCTGCAGCACCTGGTAGAGGAAGTCAATGTAGCGCGACGCCAGCTTCAGGATCTGGATCTTGCTCAGCTTGTCCGAAGGTAGCGTGGGGATAATTTTGCGTAGAGAGGCGAAGGCGTCATTCAGGGACTGAGTGCGTTGGCGCTCCCGCACGTTGGCGATGACACGCTGAGAGTGGAGGTCCTCAAAGGGCTGGTCCAGCCGGGGGCCCAGCGATGTGGGGGCCAATGACACAACAGTCATAGGGCTTTTCTTTACCTTCTTCGGACCAGTTGGCAGAAGGCTGGTTGGGCTGCCGGTACTGCTCTCCTCTGCCTGAACCAGGCTGTCCTTCTTGGGGTAAGGGGAACGCTTCCGATTACCTGCTTGGGAGGTCTTCTTCGATCCTCTTTCCAGTTCCTCTTCACTGGCCCCCAGACCTCCTTCGGGCGAGTTGGTGCAGGATACCTCTTCTCTCATTGTACTGTCCACCAACAACCTTTCAGCCTCCACTGAAAAGACAAGAAGCTGTGATGGTCTTTTTCAAGCAGCAACCAACCCGAACTTGACAAAGTTGTGTAACAAAAGTCTTCTGTCTCGTCAAAGAAAGTTACGGCTTCAGAAACTCCATTGGCTCGAACGTCGCTCTAGCTGTCCCGTTCCTTGGTTACCTTGTTAAGTTTCTAACTCTTACATTCCCTTCTCAACCTGGCAAACAGAAAAACAACAAACCATCTGACAGGCAGGTCCACCGCCGCCTCTTTTATACCCAAATGCTAACTCAAGGCCTGCGGGCAGTTCTCTTTGGCTAAGCGGGCTTTCAGAGGGCGTGTTTCGGGCCTGAGCCAGGCAGAGAAGCAGGAAGTGTGCGTTTACTGGGCGGGCAATAGAGGAAGGGGGTAAGTGGACCTCTGAGCCAATAAGAAGTGCTGTGTCTAAGGTTGCAAGGATGTCTGAGGCTTTATGGGTTCCAGATTTGGAGCTGGAGCGTCAGTCGGCATGCAGCCTTGTGTCTGCATTCTCGTTTATCAACTCACTATTGGTACAGGAATTAATCACCAGTGTAAACTTTGATATTGAACATTATATGTTTTTTTTAAATAAGCCATCAATCATGTGAACTGATGAAGTGCAATGAGACCTTCAATTTCTCCTTCACATAAGAGCAACTAACATTTCTATGGATTATACTGATAACCAGACACTATAAAAACTATACAAATATTGTTAAACCTCAGGATACAATATGGCCAAAGTCAATGAAAAAGATTAAAAGATGGATTCATGTTTCGAATTGGCACAAACCCTGCGTTTTGACGATGGCAGGACGTGAAGATTTCTTATTAAATCTGTTTGGCTGCAGCAGTTTAAAGTCTATCTGGGATTAAATGAGAGCATGTGCAAGCATGTGTTCTTCACACCTTGATGTACACTGAACTCCTACACACTTCGAAAGACATCCGTTAACTAACACCTAACCAGCGTTTGGTTCAGAATGGTGACGTCAGCTGTTCCTAGTCATCTAGGTTGGACTGGAAAGGGAGCACAGACAGGACCCTAAATAACCCCTGACCTCAGTGGCCCAGTGACCTCAGTCTGCAGAGGTGAGAGAGCATGTAATTGTGCCATCCATGGCCTCGGGGCAGCGTCGACACATGTTCCAACTCCACAGCGTGAACCCATCTGCGTCTGCAGCCACTTAAAGACATTTCTACACCATGGCAGTCATGACACAGCAGACAGGTTTCCCTGAAAATATGACGTGACATAGCTCAAGCTAATATTTTGTTCAATCTGTCTAGAACAACCTGTAATTTGAACAGATGACTAAATCTTGCACTTCTCGAAAAAATGTTTTCCCGACATCGTGTCAGTTTATACCTAAGATGCATCATGACTTGAGTGACTCATGTGTGGATCGCTATGGAGACCTTGTGGGGAGTTTTCCACTGCTCCAAGGTGCTGAAACTTGGTACTTTTTGATGACACTTAATGGTATCTTTTATATTTCAACACCTTGTAACCTCGGAAAAGTTCAGTCACTGTCCAGGTATGTTATATGAAGACGTGGAGACAAGATATTCAGAAACCTGTATTATTTATTCACAAAAGTATCCTAAGTTGTAAAACAAAACCTCATTTCATCCTTGACACGCTGCTTGACAGTTTCTAGCCAACAATTTGGGTGTGATTGCCACGTCGTTTGATGGGCCGCGTGCGCAGAGAGCAGTTCAGAAGATTCTTGATGAGCCTCGTGATTGCACTGGTTTACATTTCATTCAAAGAGGGACATGAACGGAAAGTAGCTCCATCCCAGTTGGGTTTAATCAACTTGGAGAAAAAAACCCTCATCTGGCCATCAAAGAGAGGCCATGGACAGAGACAGTGAATTATATGAGGTAGTATTTACATAACAGGCACAGTCAACTCCAGGATTAACCAGCATTAGGTATTGGGGCTTTTTGGGAGCCCTGGTGGAGACAGTGGAGGGACAGCAAATTCATTGTTGCTGAGGCTAATCTCAGGATCTGCTGCTTACCTTCAGCGAATGCATGGCTCTGAGCCACCATTATGGAAAAAATGAGCTAACAAAGCGAGTAGGCCTACAGGAATGTCGTGGCGCATAGAAGAACAGAAGAGGAGAGAAGAGAGCGAGAGAATGGGAGAAGAATAAGAAAAAGGGGAGAAGAAAAGGAGAAGAAAGGAGGAGAAGGGGAAAAAAGTGAGGCTGTCCAAACAGAACCAGATGCAGGAGTGTGGAGGCTCGTTTGATCTCTGTCCTCGTAGGCTGATTGATGTTGCACATTTCATTTCCTTGTCAGAGTCTTGACATAATGTTTCACTAAACACTCTGGCCCTGCTCTCTTCTTCGTTTTATTTCCACGGTGATTGTAATGAACCCTTTCTGGAGCTGAAAATAGATCATACACATATTGATATATATCAGTGCATATTGGCTTACAAACACACACACACACACACATGGCTGCTTGGATTTCAAAGAAGGCCGATGTATTGTCTGTTTCTGTCTCTACAACATAAGGATCCTTGCTGAAATACTGCACTGAGGAGCGGCTACATTGAAACTTTTGATGTTCTCTACGGAAAAAAGAAAAAGGGGAAAACAGTTTCTTTAAGTTTGTAATGCAGTCAATTCAATTACCGTCATACACTAAAAAGGAGGAAGCCGTGTGGTGACGTGCTCAGCTGGTAGGGGATGGCAGTGTGACCAATCATAAACAACGTGTTTTGAAATCCACGCTGCCTTGACAAAAGGTACTAATCATTAAATTCCTCCTCACCTTCACCCTGGGAGTTTCTTTACCCTCCTGGCTGCTGTTATTGATATTTGCACACTGCACACCACAGACTACACCCTCCTCCATCCCATACCCACTCGTCCACAGCTCCATCCCTCCCGAGGAGCCTATAGTGGCACAAAGGCAGACATCTGGGACCCATTTTCCCCCCTGGAGAAGCCCTTCCTGTGGGGTATCCACTTAGAGGGGTTCTGGAGAAGCGGGGCGGTGGGGGAGTGGGGTTTTGGGGGGATGAAGGTGCATGGTATGTGGGGGATGGTGGTGATGGGACTGGGTGGAGTGAGTGCGGATGGGGAGCGAGTGGGGGGTGCCCAGGGAGACGAGAGGTGTGGATGATAAGCAAATCTAATGCAAACTGTGTAAGGTGTAGATTTTGAATAAAAAAAGTTAAACCCTCAAAGTTTAACCATTAATGGCACATAAAATATTCACCCAAAAAGGTCGATACAGAGATTGGTGTCACTCTCAGGTGACAGTCAGCTTGTTTAGTTTAGATTAGCATAAGGATTGTAAACAAGGGGAAACTGCGAGGTACAAATAAGCGACGTCAAAAGGTAAATAATTACCACATTTATAGTCTTTGTTTGTTTAATTAATTTGTTTAAGAATTAACTAAGCTCAGCTAACCTGCCACTGGCTGTACCTTCATGTTTACCAATGTGAGCGTGAAGTCAATCTTCTCATCTAACTCGCCAAAAGTGCCTTTCATGTCAAACTCATACTACTTTGAAATTATATAAAGCACATTTGAGCAAAATATACCCACAAAGGCAGATAGTTTTACAGCGATTTTAATTTATTCAATATTCATATAACTAAATAACACATCCTTAAAGGCTAACAAACTGTTTTCTAAATAATATGAATGAAAGGAAACTTTCTGACAAGCAGTTTTGGTTGCTGTTCTTGTCTTCACTGGACTCATATTGTCAACAATAATATACATCTGTGCACCATTCTCACTAATTAAATCAATATTGCTCCAGTTGACAGGTCTGTCAATCAAACCTGATCAAATCACACCCACGAAATCTGAATGAAGATGATCTGTTGATTATATATATATATATATATATATATATATATATATATATATATATATATATATATATATATATATATATATATATATATATATAATATATTCTCTCTTCATACATACTACTGTTTGGGTTGTTTCACATTCTGTTTCATTCTAATTATTAAATGACATGGATACATTTCCAAGTTTTATTTATAGAATCTACAGTTCCAACAACCGGCAACCTTCATTCGCTGTTCATGTGACATCATTGAAATCTCGCTTTTCATCACGTTTTTCAAATCTTACAGTGAAATCATGCATTAAAAATGCTTTCCTCCCGCACTGCGTGCAAGCCTGTGTTGTTCTTTTTTAGCTGTGACTTATCTTCTCGTATTAGGCCATAATTTATCATAATATTTAGTGCTCAAGCTTCCTTCAAATGTCCCTGCTTTCATGTGTAATTTAGCCAATATCCTGCTCTGGCTCTGATTACAGTCTTTAAGTGTTCGGCTTCGTCCATGGCACATTACAAACAGTCCCAGTGGAGTCCACAGCTGAGCTGGGGATACAGCATGCTGGGCTGGTGTACGCTGAGTGGAGGGTTAGTCTGCAGGAAACCTCGTGTTGGCTAATTCTGAAACATCCACAGAAGAAGAAGTGCATGATGATTATTAGCAGAAATTCACTGTGTTTTATGAGGGGCCGTTTAGGACTTATCTACTGAGACACTCTTACTTGTGTGTTTCAGTAGTGAGCGAGAGAGCATTTCAATGAATGTAAGAGTGTTTCATTAGTATGTGTAAGAGTGTCTGAGTAGTTAAGCCCTAAACACCCCCTCATAGTGTTTCATTGAGACGGTTTTCAGTACCACTCTCTCATAAGTTCACACAAATGTCTTTAATGTTTAGCACACATCAAATGTGTAAGCCTTAATTAAAAACAACAATATTTTATTTAGTGATAATGCAGTTTGAAATGCAGGTAATTATTACTAAAAGCCCTTTCATTTACAACCCTAAAACATTTATAAAAGGCGTTGGTAATTAGTTAAACATATAAAGCCTTGACAAGGGGGTTGCTTAAAAAGTGTCTTCATGAGGTTTGTATGTTTCACAAAGAAACATACATTAAACAGGCAAGGGGTATGAAACCTGTTCTGATATTTGAGGCTAGGTGTCTATCTGCATGTGTATGTTATAATTATGTTGCTTAAATGTTACATCACATCATGTCTGAATGTGCAAACTGCAGGTCATATGGTCTCCCTGAGCATGTAAATTGCGCCGAAGGGAAAACCACCGTCAGGTACAAGTTTCCGATGGTCTCTTATTTTGATACATACATTATATTCAGTCTGAATATCCTGATATTCAGAGGGCACTGAAACACCTTTTGGACTTGCTACAAACACGTATTGTTCTAAACCAGAAAAATCACACAACAATTCAATCTGAAGATAGTTTCTTTAGATAAGGAACTAGCGGGTAGTCAAGTGCTGCTGTCTCCAATCTCACACTTCAAATACTGGTAACTGGAAGCAGTACCAAGCTGGGATCTCCGGGATTAGGTACTATCACGCATCCAGTCCTGTCAAATTCACACTGAAGCACTGTGTGCAAGGTAGAGAGGAATGCTGTGTTTCTACACCAGAGCTATTCCATTAGGAACATCAACAGGGCCGGCTTCAAAGGGGTGCGCCTTCACATTGAATCAATCCCCAATTCCATTAGATTAGAAGAATTCACCAGAGTTACATTGCGCTAACATTTCTTTATGGTTTCCCAAATCCCTGGTTCTGGTTCTGGTTCCCCCTATGAAGCCACTTCAAACAGCCTCTGCCATGGCATATCCCTTTGTGCTCTAGAACAGCAAATATGTGTCTCTCTAAAATGTTTCAGATGCGAGTTTTCAGTGGTCCCAGAGGCACCGAGAGCTTCGCACACAGAAAACATGAGGAGGAGGAGGAGGAAGGAGAGGAGGAAAGAAACAGCTCTGCGTAAAAGTAGGGATGTGCTGTTAGCGGGCAGGTCTGCAGAGAGACTTTGAATGACCAATGAGTGGCGATGGAGATGATATTGAGACAAATAAAAGGAAAAAGCAGACATAGTGTGGGACAAATCCTGTTGCAGTAAATCAGTGTGGTAATAGTGGAAGACAGGAGAGGAGGGGGGCTGCAAAGGTCTAGAAACATATGTTTCAGTTTGTAAATAAAACAGTAAATTGCTATGGATATTGCTTTAATATCTGTGGGCTTTGTACCTCGCTTCACGGAAGTTCCTCGGAAATCATTCTGGGGCTGCCTTCTTAAAAAGCCAAGGCGGCTTCTTAATGTCAAAGAGCCCATCTGGTTCTCGACCAATTCAAGATGTTTGCTTTGCATTTTGCATTTTTTCTCTTGACGCATCATTTTTTAGATCAAATGCTGCATTTTGTCATTAATCCCATTGTTCATAATTTACAGTGGAGCGATTATCCTGCACGCATCACAGACATTGGTCAAGGCTGTGAATCCCTGTTTGCCCTTTATTACCGGAGTCCTTTTACTGAGGGACCATTTTGAGGCCCTTTACCCTACTTGATTTACTGTATCCTTTTGTACTCTTACAGTAAGCTCCGAGGGAAATAGTAAATATTTCACTCCACTACGTTTATGGAACAAATAAAGTAACTAGTTATTGTGAAGATAAACATTTCACAGACAGATTATAAGATCACACCATAAAGTATGATCAAATGTTGGTCATTAATCTATTCAATACTAACATTAAAAGCACCTTATGCATCAGTATATTCAGTATATAGAAGTACTTTTCTTTTTGATGCTTTGCTAATAAAGTGTAAGGGTACATCACTGCCTTTGATAAATAAAATATGATAAGACTCCATTGCAAGTAAGTCCTGTATTGAAATCACTTGAGCAAAAGTCACAAAAGTAAAAGCACTAATTCAGAAGTGCTGTAATAGCATGTCTGCATAGTTTGTTCATTAAGCATTACATAAAGAATACGGTATTGTTGCAGTTTTTTAAGACAGAGCTAATTTTAACCAGTTCACACACTCTTAGTAGTAGTAGTAGTTTAATCTATAACAATGCATCATATCGTAAAAAAGGAACCAGATTTTACAAAACACACAAATTCTCATCTTCTTAATGTACAGACGAGTCTGTAAATTTTTCAAAAATTATAGTTGAGAATAATGACCTAATTTGAGATGCAATGGTGGGGGTATAAAGTAGAATAATTGTGTGAAAATTGTTGACCGAGTCACTACTCATTTTGACGTATCAGCGAGTAAACACAGATTATAGATGGGAGGAATCAGTGCATTTGTGTTATTTTCATCATGACATCATCTGCTTTAAAGGTGTGCGTGTGTACAATACAAAGGAATAATTTTGCCCTTTATGTTGTTTGTTATAGATTGTGATTAAGCTGCCGTTGCTCTTTACTATCTAATTATCCAGGATGTTAAGGATGTTGAATGTCTAAACTTTAGATTCCAGTCTCACCGCACTCTACCAGACTGCCAGTCAACACTTGAGACAACTTCCTCCCTTGATTTCGGTAGAAAGGAGTCCCATAATTGAATAAAACCCTCTCTTAACATACCACACACACATGCACACACACACGTTTTACAGGCTGGTATATAAACTTAATAGGACGCTTTTGGTTCCAAAAGCCCCCAGCTTGCTCAGGGCTCAGTAAGCCAGATTGTTTTTCAGTTTCTTAATATCGAACTCTATAACGGCGAGATAAAAAATGTTGCCATGGTGATTTATCCACAACATCGCAATTACCGTGATGCAATGAGACTCTGGGAGCTTACAAACAAACCAGTCTAATGCAATTAAGATAATTACCACCAAACATGTACTTAAAACACTGAGGAAGGATGCAGGAAAGCAACAACGAGAGAAAAATAATGATAGTGGCTTCTTAAGGATCAAAGTTACTGATACTTCTGGTAAATAAAGAAACGCTATTCAGATTCACTTTCCGTTACACTCTGGAGCAGCTGCAGCACTCGAGAGACCCATTTCTTCACGAGATATTGTCCTGTAAATGAGGTTTAAATGCACAAAATGCACATATTTTTCACATCAAGTTCAAAGTCCTCCTATCAGGCAGCTGCCTTAAAAAATGTCATACACTAAAACTTCTCTGCACCCAACCCCCCAAACCTTCCCTTTGAGGAGCAGAATAAAAATGTGAATGGATGGAATAATTGCCTGACTTCAAAGCACAGCTTATTGACCTGCATTCACAGTTGAGATTTCAATGCTGTGGGGTGTTTTTTCCTTTAGCATTGTGGCTTGGGTGGGCTGGGAAAGTGGTTTCTTCCTCTCGTGGTGCAAATCCCACTCTTATGGCCAACACTGACCCTACTGACCTGTGGTTGGTAGGAAGAAGGATGTGCAGCACCTTCACTCTGCCACTGTGTCACTTTCCCATGCTACATGAAATAACAATAAAGGAAATTCGTTAGAAACGTAATGTTTTCGGGGAACAGAAACTGTTCCAAAAAACAACAACAAAAAAAGAAAAACAGTTGTTATCCACAACAATGCACAAGGGATGGACTACAAGAACATTTTACTAACATGACTCAGAAACACAAACACAACGCCTTGTGTTCATTCATTCTACATTTCTAACATGTACAAAGATATAAGAAAATACAGCAAAATAATCTCATACAAGAGAAATATAAGTGTCATTAATAGTTCGGATGACGACTAAATAATGTAAAGCGACATACACGCACACCGGTGGTGTCACTGCTGTCACGAATTAAAGCCATCAATGAGCCTCCTGTTCATACTTACACCGATCAACAATAATACAAAAATGATTCTTTACGTTAAAAATGCCCCGTTCATGGTTCACAGACACATCAAACCAGAACATATGGTGTGTGTTACATGAACGCATTCGTGGCCATGCGGCAGAATTTTGGTTGGCCTGCCCTCTGCGAGACCCCGACACACTCCGAGGTCCTTGGATATACTGTATATCACATATTCACCATACGCAGTGAGGCTCTTCGATATGCCGATTCCATCCATTTAACAGCTATTTGTGCCACATTGTATCATTCATTGAACAATAATTGTTTTTTAAATGATACAAAGACGTCGGGACGTCAAATACACATCCTGTACTGTGGCAGGCTGTTAACTGTTGGAATGACAGTGTCCTCTAGGGGCTATGGTATGAAACTGCTATTGACAATTACCAATGACCACCATTAATTCCGTTCACTGAATCACGAAAAACATGAGCATATTTTGGATCCATTTTGTTGTGAAGAAATTGTACGAATACATGACTCAGCAGGCGGCTAAGGGAAGGAAAATGTATCAAACATCTTTAAAAATAGGGCTGTATTTGTTGGCAATAAAAAAAAATAGCACAAAAAATTCTAAAAAAAAAAGTTTGAAGAGGTTTGGGCCAAGACGGCAAGGGAGTAACCACAAACAGGGTTCCATCAGCAACGCAAAGTATTCCAAACCTTCCCCTGATTCCTCTTGAAATGTCTTTCATTGCCTTTGGACTCAAAGTCAACCCAAAGTCTGTGTTGTCACGTCGGGATGTTAGGGTGCCCTTAGAAGTCACTGAGAATGCTAATGTCGGCAAATTCTTTGCGGTAGCGGTGAGCGGACAGGGAGAGCAGGAAGGACCACTTTAAGCTCATGAAGCTCCACACGCAGGACAGATAGAGACTCCGAGGGTCACTCAGGGCTGTGGGAGGGGGAGAAAATTTACATTCATCTGTTGCTGTAACAACTATCACTCTTCTGTATCACTCTTCTGACTCTTCTATCACTCTTCTGCCACAAGATATTTAGAAACAGTCTCAAATGGAAACACAAAGAAGATATGAGCAGGAATGAAATCCCACTGATTATAAACACGGTAGAATAAAGAAATAATTTCATAAGGAGAATGTGGTTTAGTATTGACAGATGCAGGCACTGAAAATGCATACACAGGGAATAAGTCAAAGACAAAAACACAGTTTCATACCGCATGTTAAAATTGAATGTAAATAGAAGGCGAACACCGGATTTTGGAATAATACACATTATATAATTCTTTCTGACCAAGCATATTTTTCACATGGGGATCAAAAGATAAGAGCCAAATCTGTCTCTAACCTCCCCTTTGTTAGCAGCTCATTAAAGTGGCCCAAACTGTCAAAACACTGAACAAAGAAAGTATGAAAATACACTGCACGCCACATTTAGTTTAAGAGTCTGACATTTTCTCAACTGGAGTAAATAGCTCAGACAATTTTCCATATGCATTCTTGGAGATATAGGAAATCTGTACGTAAAGTAAAGCTAAAAAATTTAGGTGGAGCGGAGACACCAACCTCGACTGGGGGTCATCAATCAATCTTTTCATTTCTTTGTTTATTGTCGTTATTTATATTATCTTCTCTGATATGTCTGTAGTGAGACACTTAATTACTTTACAGTTGCATTGTGTTTGTCTGGGCTGTTGCAAATATGTATTCAGTGGGATGACAAACAGCATTGGGTATGATTACCATACTGCAGATCATACACACATTTAGAGAAGAACAGCGCAAACACCAAATTATGACGACCCCAAGGCAACGTACACAAACTCACACTCCTTTTTGTCGATGGCAATAGACAGGAAACTGAAGAAGGCCACGACTGCTAACAGAGAGAAGAGGACCCCGATGAAGAAGAAGAACTTGAGGCCTTTTAGCCAGGTCCTCCAGTGGTCCTGCTGGTACATGACGTGAGTGATCAGGGTCCAAAGTGCCAGTACACCTGAGGGAAAACCACAGGGGACAGGTGAGATTGAATTGAAACTTATTTTATAACAAACGCTGAAGACAAATAATAGTTAGGTGTGTATGTCATAAAAACAAATGATCATTTAAAAGACAGCATTCACAGCAGATGTTAACTGCTCATTTGAAACAGACGTCAACCTGAGTTTGAAAGGTCAAGAACGGGTGGTGGTGGATCAGGAGTGAGAGAGCATGTTTCAGAACATCATGACTAAGCATGTCGCAAGTTGCTGAGTTGATAAATCAAACTTCTTTCTTTACGTTCCCCTTTTGTTTTCCGAGCAACAATGTTGTGAATCTCTGCTATGTGTAATGTTCCCAAACTTTTCGCCAACCCTGCCTGAGTCGGACATCGTAACTGTGGCAATCTGACAGCAGCATCACCGTCTGTGCTTCTGACATTTTTGAAAAGCTGGAGAATGAACACATTTTTTATAAAAGTTAAACGATGGACGTGTCAATGCAAAATATTGTTATATTGGCTTATCATTAAAGCAGGTAAGGAGAAGGTTGCAGCTAGTTCCCGTTTGGAAATTGAAAATGCATATTGAGTCAGTGTAGTCAGTGTAATGTTTCATTTTTTTAGGGAATGGGGTTAAATTCATATCTCACTAATCTTTTTTGTCGGAAAGTATGAGGATAATGCTACACTTGTTCTTTAATCAAATAAGATTCCCGACAAGTTGGTTTTATCTACAGCAACATGTATTACATCACATATATTCCTGTGAACAGATAAGTTCAGAGGTTATAGGTATGGACTTATGAACCTAAAAATCAGTTCAAAGGTCGCCTACATGGGCACAGAATTAAAAAACAACCCATTACAAATATTATTGTGCATGAAACTATTATTCTAACTTGGACCAATTCTATAATTGCAAACTTCCGCCCAATTTCACACGTACAATTGACTAGACTCAAGAGTATCTTATTATTGTCAAACAATTTAATTAATGCCAAATATTTGCCTCCAACTTCATGCCATTATATTGCTTCTATTTATCAAAACACAGTCCAAAAATTGACTTGCAGAGACTTGAAAAAAAGACGTTTCAAAGACAACAGAACATGTTTTGAAAATTATGTAAATTCGTTTGTGTTATTATAACACTGTTGTATAATAATGTTAAATTAGTATGTACTGATTATATATATACTGATTTTAATATATATATATATACACACACACACACACACACACACACACACACACACACACACACAATACTTTGACTTGTTGTGTGACATCTCTGCCCATCAAAAAACCCTTTTCACTGCGGGCGAGCTACAGGCTCATTTTACAATCATTAACCCGACTTCAGGCCAACATGGTATTTAAAACAACGGCTGCAATACAAACATGCACATTGAAATGAGCCAAAGCCCTGTAACAGACAAACACACAGTTTTACCTGACAGTCCTCCCATGGCAGCAGTCCACGGCTGTTTGAACACGATGTTCCACACCAGGAAAGCAGAAAAGCCCACGAGCACACCGAACGAGGCATAGCCGATGCTAACGTAGGTTTTATTGACAGACATGTTCACAACAAGAACAAAAACAGCGGAGGGGAGAAAGCACCCTGACACACAAGCTCAGCTAGAAGAGACACGAGTGTGCGTATTCGTGCGTGACTGACAGAGAGCAGCGAGTCGTTGTAAAACAACTGCATCCGGTCAGCAGCTGTCAGAGAACTGCTGACTAACGATTGTTGTCGCGCACGCGCGAACGAGGGCGACTGTGAAACATGACAAAGCGTTTCTAACGCGAATAGCTGCGTTTTTTCTACCCAGCTGCAAAAAAATACTTGGGTTAGACCTACATCATCTGATAATAACCAAAGAGTGGGCTCCGTCCGGCATACTTCACAGAGAGGACACAGCGCCCTCTGCAGGAGCAGAGGGGCACGTGAAACATAAAACAGCTCCCATCGATGTCTTCGAAATTAGGGATTATTCTTTCGTGTTTCTATTAATATTTTGTCTTTGCCTCTGACTTTGTTGAACTTATATACGTAGAAATACGATATGCAGTGGTTTAAATTCCAGAAAATTGGTAAGTATATGTCATATTTCAGCAAAAATCGAATTCACTTGTTCAAAGTTTCTCTGGTAACATTTATATTGTTGTCATATATCATGAAAAAAATCCTCAGTTCTTTAATTAACTATAAATATACAATGTATTCATTTTTAATGCTAATTACTTATCCCAATGTGCGACCAATAATGGAATTTAGCAATTTAATGTTTAAAATTCTTGAAATACTGAAATCTTTCATCTTTGAACGAAGTATTGATTGAACAAGTTAAAAGGAGTTGAGATGTCAAGTTAAAATAATACATTTAAATATTTACTTTCTGTTGAAAATTAAAAGTTTGTTGTGTTGTATTGTAAGCAATGGTATCAGTACACTGTTATGAACAGTGGAGGTGGTGGGGCTTAGAAGAGCTGAATATATATATATATATATATATATATATATATAATATATTCTCTCTTCATACATACTACTGTTTGGGTTGTTTCACATTCTGTTTCATTCTAATTATTAAATGACATGGATACATTTCCAAGTTTTATTTATAGAATCTACAGTTCCAACAACCGGCAACCTTCATTCGCTGTTCATGTGACATCATTGAAATCTCGCTTTTCATCACGTTTTTCAAATCTTACAGTGAAATCATGCATTAAAAATGCAATTCTTTTTTGTTGCTCTTGACCTGAAAGGATTTGATGTGTAAGGAAAGTGAATAGTTAAAAAAAATGTGTATTGTGTAAACATTTCTGGTGAGCTTCTGGGGATGGTGGTTCTATCTGATGGTGGTTGTCCCTGCAAATTTGTAATTTGAATTTGAATTAAAGAGTTAAACGTCCCTTTACAGTTTAACAAGATATAAATATGATAAACAAACTATGAAATTAGAATTTACAGTGCCTTTACTGAGCTTATGAGAAGTTATAATTATCAGGAATCAGGAAACATTTATTGCCATATGTCAGACATACAAGGAATTTGACTTGGCGGTTGGTGCATAACAGCAGACAGTACGACAATGGACGACAAGACAACATAGTGCAAGAGGGATAAAATAAAAAATAATGCTATGGGTTAGTAATATAAGGCTATGGGTTAGTTTAAAAATAAAGGAAGTTAAAAAGTTAAACATTTTAATTTAAAAATAAAGTGCACCAGCGAACAGAAAGTGACAAGTGAAAGTGACGTGTGCAGTGTGAAAGAAAGTGACCGGTGGAATGTCAGAGTCAGTCAGTGGGGGCCCTCCTCGGCTTTTCATCTGTTTATTGCTTCACTTAGAAAACATGGCTCTCACTAGGCAGAATAATCTAGATTTTAGGCTGTGTGTGGAGTATGATGTTATCTTCTTCTACCAATTTGACTGCACCGCACTCCACACCAGTAGGTGGCGGAACGCAACCACGAGCGGGTTTGCTAAACACCAATAAACCACGGAGAAGACGATGAGTGGGGGCAGCCAGATACCTGATGACAGCCAAAGTGAACCTCTCTACTAGCAGCCCGTGTACTGAATCAACACCCCCAGTGTAAATACAGTAGTAACGTTTACTATTTGCGAGAGACACTTTTTTTTGTAACTTTGAGACGATCAGTCGATGGATAAAGTAGGTCAACGTCTTCTTCGGTACTGGTGCCAAACTGAGTGAACACTGTTGCTTCGAATTTTAGCATAAGTAACGTTGACGACGTTAGCCAGAATGTTAGGTATGTAGCAAGCAAAAGCTAGGTAACCTCTGTTTACGGTCGATTAGCTCGTCGCTCTAGTCTGTAACGTTACTGACAAAACACCAGGTGGCCAGGTACTTCGTAAAGATGGGTGACCTAGACCCATCGGCATCCCATCCATATCAGTCAGAGGTAAGTTATGTTTTTAACTGTTTTACAGTCGGTAGCATCACGTTAGTTTGCTGTCAAGGCTAACGACGTTAGCAAACGTCAACTTGATCGAGGTTGTCACCACACGGTGTGGCAGCTGCTGGTTAGCGTTAGCTTGCCGCGCTAATGTTCTCATGGTGCTAGCTCCTGGTGCAGACAACAACGTTGAATAAGTTGCACAAAATCCGTTGAGCTGAGTTCAAGCTTTCAATTTTAACCACTAAAAGCTCTGTGTCAGAATGACACATTGTGGTCACCTTTTGTAAGCGTGTTTACGCTAAAGCTAATGTTAGCTCAACGTTTCAATTAAAGAGAACATTCCATCACCATCGCGAGGCAGGCTAACATTAACGTGGGCTTATTGAGCATCGTATTGACTGCATTCGTCGTCAGTGAACCGATCGTTGCCACTGACCTATTAATCACTCCATTGGTATTATTTTTTGTTTGCTTTCGCTTAAACTTTGCCAACACTGACCACAAGCTAGCTTCTTAGCACTAGCGTTAGTTAACGTTACTTATTTGCTGTCAATTGCTGGCCAAGCTAGCTGGCGCTTATGTTAGCCGTCGGAATGTTAACTGACGAGACCAAAAAAACGCGTCCGTGCAGTTATTAAACTTTAGCATGTGTTTGTCGCCATGTTGTTGTTTTTCTGTCCGTTAGCTGGTCGTTAGTGTGCCGATCGATTGTCGTCCACATCAACGCGGTGTCGGGTGGTTGTGTGTGTTTGGGTCTTGCGGCTAATGTTGATTAATGTGACTGTTTCAGGGGTTCAGTCCGCCATACGGGAGGAGGAGGACGGTGGAGGATTTTAACAAGTTTTGCACGTTCGTCTTGGCTTATGCCGGCTACATCCCGTACCCCCAAGAGGTGAGTAGACGAGGCAGTTAGTGCCTGAAGCTAAATAAAGTCATTTTTGTATGGTTAATTCACTCGAAACAGAAAAAGGTGATTGATATAATGTATGTATTCTATATATTACCAATTTAAATTGCAACCAAGCCTAGTTCTTATAGTTTAAAGATGCCACTTGCACACATACGCACCTAAACCGGTACATCATCATCATCATGAATTCTTTAATGTACATCGTTGATTGGTAATCAGAAATCTTATTGTTGGCTGGATTAATCAGCTCTGGAAGTTTGAACTTCTCCCATTGATTTGTACAGGACTCATCACTGCGCAGTAGTTCCAGTCCTCCCAACAGTACAGGCAGCACAGCTGACAGTGATGGCTGGACTCCGGGACCCTCAACATCCTGCCCACAGCGTCCCTCCAAAGTCCCCCAGGACATGAGCAGGAAACGTCTACTCCCAGGATCCACAATGTCCATCCACGGCAAGAAAGATGTGAGTTGAGTTGATGTGACAACATTGGCTGTATATATATTCATCCATCTAAACCTATATGTCCTTTTTCTCCCTTGAAGCAAGCAGTCACCACCCTGCACCCAGATGACCGCAGGAAAGCTGATAAGTTGAAGAAGAAGAAAAGGAGAAAGGAGAGGGAGCATGCGGCTGGTGAAGAAAGTGGGCTTCAGCAGGCCAAGCCGACACTCCCAGAGCCGCCGTACCCCATCACCTTTGGAGGCCGAATGATCAAGGAAGAGCCAGAAGATGATATCAGCATTCCTCTACACCCCAAGATTCTGCCTAGCCCGGCCCACTGCAAGGAGGAGCCCAATGAGGAATGTCAAAACTGGGGTGGTCAAGATCTTGAAGAAGGGGTAGTACAGGTACAGAAGGTGGAAGGCCTTTCAGGAAACCGAACGGTGTTCCGCCAGGGGAAACAGGTGGTGTTCAGAGACGAAGATGGATCAGGAGAGGATGAGGACATCATGGTCGACTCCGGTAGGGTTTCTTTTTCATTAGTTTATTGCATCGTTCACAAGTGTGACAAAATGGCCGAGCTTAACTCAGCGTATGCTCGATCTATCATATGTTCTCAGACGACGACTCGTGGGACCTGGTGACGTGTTTCTGCATGAAGCCATTCGCGGGCCGCGCCATGATCGAGTGCAACCAGTGTAACACCTGGATCCACCTGTCGTGCGCTAAGATCCGCAAGAGCCACGTGCCAGAGACGTATGTATGCCAGAGCTGCCGAGAGTCACACGGAACCCTCGATGCCCGCCGCTCTCATCGCTCTCGCGTGGGCCCACGTAAGCATCTGCTTGACTGACTCTAGGCTCAACCATGAACTCTGACCCCTTCCACTCCTGCTTCCCCTTCCACTTGCTGGATAGACCGTTGAATTCAGGTCTCGCACCTTTCAGTCTCTGTCCTTCACGATCAGCCATTAACTCTTTTTCTATGAACACTTTGGTGGACCTAACCCACGCCCTTATCCCGCTTGAAAACCGTCATTTTAGATGTAGTAAAATCTTTTGCTCCTGCTTCCCTACAGACTCTGTGCGTAAGGCAATCACTGTCTGTAGATGATCTTAGCATAGCAGCAAACTGCTGCTGTTGGGACTTGGTGACTCGTGAACACTGGAAAAAAATTTAACTGCCATATATAGAGAATACCCTCACTACTGCCATCCACTATGGTGCATGATGGGATTTGTGGAAAAAAAACTATTTGCACTTTTCTCACTTTTATTTTCCCCTTAAGAGAACCCATATGACCGGTCATAGGGACTAGTTTGTCTTTCTGATTCAACGGGATTTGATTTCTCTTATATACTTCTTGCTACAAAGTTAACTGTTAAAATGAGAAAACAAAAAGAACCCATGTGTTTGTTGCTTCAGATGGTGCTACAGTATTATGCTGAGGTATAATCCAATAGAGCAAAGTTGTGGGATAAGAGACTGGAGTCTGCATCCGGTTGATGTTTGTTGTCCTGTTTTGTTATTTAAGACATTGTGAAAGAATATATTTGAGTCTGAAAGCGTGTACAACTGAAAAAAGTGCTTGTCTACTTCGCAGACTGTCTTCCTGCCTTGCCTACTACGCTGAAATCAAAATGTTACTTTTCCACACATAAGCTTTACCGCAATTTCCCCAAGTTGTTTAAACAGTGTTCCTATTTCACAAAAAACTTTTTTTTTATGAAATTTGTTTTAAATAAAAAGTTAATTTACAGATATAAAAAAAGCCAGAAGACCATTTCAGTAAAGGTGTCGTCTTCTTTCTGTATTCAGTGTTTTTGTTGCATTTTTTCCATACATTGTTTTATTTTCAAGTAACCCTAGCATTCAACTGGTTCATGCTCATGACAATGTTTTCAGAGAGTATATTTATAGAAGGAAACTCTATGACCGTCCTGTTTAAGTGTGTGTGTATGTGTGTGTATATATATATATATATATATATGTGTGTATATATATATGTATATACTTAATCACTTAACTGGAAAATTGTGTGTGGAAAGAATCGCTCAAAAGTCCAGTTAAATTTATGCATGTGGGTGTGTTGGTTTGAATGGTCGACATTGTGTGAGGGTGTTACATCTTCTGCTGTTGTCCAAGCAAGCCCGATGCTTTTTGGTTTTGTTTTGTCTCCAAAGGGTCAGAACAGAAGAACATTTCTCATTCTGTGCTCACTAATGGTCTCACAGCAGTATTCAGTCACTTCCAAATTCTGCAGGTTTATGAAAGAGATTTTTTTTAAAGCACGTTTTTGTTAGTACTGGAAAATGGATTTTAAGCTTTTTTATTTAGCTATTCATGTGCCATCTGCCGTTGTTTCTGATTATATAAAAGCCATACTGTAGTGACAGATTTTAGACTCGGAACCTTTTATATTCGTCCAGGATGGGATTTTCAATGACCTGACTGGGCAATGACCCACAATGAACGGTTGTTTTATAAAGAACATACAACTTTATAGAGTTAAAAGTGGTTATGCTTGTCTCTGCGCTCGTCTTCTGGGTTTTATATATGTTCATCAACTACTTTTTACCCAGCAATCTCCAGATCTTAAAGAACATCAGGTTTTGATGTTTTTAAGACGTTTCAAGACCTAAAATTATTTGCTGTTTCTCGGGACGTTCACAACGCGATGAGAGCCTGAGGAGACATCTTCAGGCACAAATGTGTAATTTTAGTCTGCGTCTTTAAGACATCAGTTTGATAAACGTTACCGTTACTCATTGTGATACAGCTCGTCAATTCTGATCTTGGGTTATCCTGTCCCCCTTTTGAGAAAGCGTTGTCTGTACTGTGGTGCAAACTGTTTCTGTGAAACTATTGTAAATAAAGAGTTACCATTTTAACTTTACACTTGACACTGTCTTCATATCTGCCAACTTCTTGAAATCAAACAAGAACTGGATATTTTTGTATTTATTGTACTCTTTACAGGACAAAGAACTAAACTGATTTGGGCTGGAGTGACAGCAGGAGCAGTCTTTCTGCTAGTCTCAAGGTGGCACTACAGCAAGGGGACATAATTTACAGTACATTTGAAACAAATGAGTATACTACAAACAGAATTGGTGCGAAATGGCTGCTATAACAGTGGCCCCAACAAAAGATCTTTACGGATCTCACATTTCCAGTGATGGACATACGTCAATATCAATTATTGTTTTTACAGGGACCTTGCAGATCAAATCTAGCCTGCATTATTAAAACATGAGAATTCAAGCCTTTCCTTTCTGGGTTGGAATACAATCATCACAGCCCTAATCCTACTTCCAACTCTCAAAGATGTTTTGAGCAGCACTTTGCAGCTGAGCAGCATAGATGTCACTAAAAGGCATAATACATTAGGTAGGCATTTCAACAATTAAACAAAAACATTAGGTACATTATCAATCCTCTGACGGTCCAGCCTCAGGGTCACTGAGATCCTGCAGAGTGGTACATTTGCACGAGTTATTAAAGTGGCTTAACAAATTTTAGTCAAACTTACCAGGGTGATACAAGTATGAAGGCTACAATGACATGGGGTAAAATGACAGCACAGGCCATTCATTTGTATATACACTTGACACACTTGATCTTTAAATGTATGTGCACTTTTATCTCATTGCTGATAGGAATGGTCTCCACTTCTGCAGTGGCAATCGGTCCCTCTGTGTAGTGCATTTCTGAAACTGCTCGGTGCCAGTGTCTGATTGCCACCAGAAGGCAGATATTTAAGCAGCACTGTCAGGTGTGGCAGACTTAACACAAAGGGTTACACCTTGTAGCGCCGTGCCGACTCCTTTGTTCTGCTGAACATAGGAGACGGACAACAGGAGAGGGAGGATCGGATAGTCAATAAAGATTCACTAATACCACGACAGAGGACCATAGGAGGTAGACGGGCTTATTGTTGATGGGTCTCCTCCTTTCTGGGGTTGATGTTTTTACACAAAAAAACACCTTCCCACGGTTTTTCGCTTCTGATGCTACAACAGTGGGGGGCTCCTAGGACTCAGACTCAATTCTGTGAGCTGAAAAGGAAAAAAGAAAAAAAGAATTTGAACATGTATATATGCATGTATATACTGTAGTAGTGTGCAGATATGTGATGATAATATGGGGTTGTCCGCGTAAAGGTGACTGAATACTAACATTGCTTGGGTAACCGTAACGACTCCGTGTCTGCAGAGATGACCTGGTGCATGGCACCCCTGAACTGGTACAGTAATTTCAGACTCTTCTCCTCTCCTACACAGGGGTCGTAGAAGCCCGGCAACCCTGCCTGCACACATGTACACACATCTGTGATTGTCGAATGGACAAAATGATTTGTAGGCAATCTCTCTCACACTCTCTCACACACACACACACACACACACACACACACACACACACACACACACACACACACACACACACACACACACACACACACACACACACACACACACACACACACACCTTGGAGGCCTCTGTGAGAATTAGTTTGGAGTCCTTGACCAGACATTGCAGAGGCACAGTGACATCAATGACCTTTGCTTTCTCCTGCTTCAGACTGGTGTCTGACACAAACTTTCCATACCAGGCATTCAGGATGATCAGACCTGTACAGTAACACACACAGTAAGCGTTTCGGTGTAAAATCATATGTGGTATTGTGTGAATACCAACAACAGCCCTGCTACTTTAGACAAATATCACACACACACACACACACATTAGCTGACTGAAATGATTCAAAGTCTTGAATTGCATGTGTACACTGCAGAGTTCTGTGCTCTGCATTTACAAGCTTAACCTAAATAAACAATGCAACATGGAGATATGCTGCTATGAAGCAGGTTCTGATAATGTAGACTAGGACGGATGTCAGGCTACACATTTGGTTGTTTTTACGACACTTTAGCAGCGAACTAACAGAAGGTTCTCAGTTCTCACCCTAGTGTAGCGACTGAGTCTATGTGTGTATGTTTCCTCACCCATCTTGGATTCTTCCCCTTCTACGATTCTCCTCACAGACTCCTGCATCAGCAGAACCTGCAGAGGATCCAAGGGAGAGAAAGGGAGGGGGAGGAGATTAAAATACAATAGCATAGGACAGAGTTTTTATGACAAGAGGAGAGCTGAACCTAAAACCAAAATCAATCATCCCTCCCTCCCCCCCCAAAACACACATCAAATAACAGTCTGTTTGGATATGACAGAATACCCACAGCAGACTCTGCCTCGTGCTTCTTCTTGGCGATGTCTGCAGAGGAACTCTTCCTGTGTAGCTCCAGCTCTCTGAGAAGCGTAAAGCAGACATCAACAATCACCTACTGGGATGCACTGGGTGCATCTCTACCTTCTATGCGGTGTTATTTTTAAAATTGCAAAACTTAAGGAAGAATTAAGTTAAGGAGTTGCACTGACTGCTCTTTCTGTGCTTGTATATATGGGATGATGATCAGTCGGTGTATGGCCAAGTAGACCAGCAGGGGTCCCACAGTGGCGTAGAAAACAGCACTGGGCAGCAGCTGATCTGTTAGATGAACTGGAAACAGGTACGTCTGACTGGCACGTACCAACCTGCACGGAAACAGCAGCATAAATATAAACACACAATGCAGGCAGATAAGAACCCATGAGAGAATGAGATCATATTTGGGGTTGACCAGTACTTGATCTTGAGTGTGACTCCCTGAGGGACCCCAATGCTGACAGTGGCTGACAGGACACTGTGTCGGCTGATCTTCCTCTCCGCTCCATATTCCACAACAGTTCCAAACCAGCCTGTCCTGGAAATGAAAGACCACAAAAATGAACACAAGTGTTAGGCAGCTACTGAAGCCAGTGAGAGTTATACTGATCCGGCAGCCTGAGATAAAAATGTTTCGGCTTCAAATACGCGTAGCAGCTTTTTATTCCTTTTACATTCTTTTAAAAAAAAAAATCTCCGACAGATCTTTTATGCTGCATATGACATGTCAACCTGTTTTATTTTCTTAACTCTGCAAAGCTTTTATTTCTTGAATATTTACTCTTTAAATCAGTTAAAATAGTTATCTGTAGCATTTAAGTACAGCCCCAGGTTAATGAAATCAGTCATTTGCACATCATCAAATAGTTTATTTGTAGGTTTGATATGCATGATCATGAAACCCACATTTTTAGTAAGTTTGTAGACAAGATAAATAGACGGACATACTTTACAGAGCCTTTCACTTTGGTCTGCTCCTCATCCTGGAACTTGTACTGGTAGCTCATCATCAGGTAAGAATGAGCCACACCCAGCTGATAAGGTGGGATTGGAACACAATCACATATAAGAATATAGTGAAATCATGGCAAATAAATGGGGTGAATATGTGAAGCAGTACTAACTATATTCACCAATTTAACAGCAGGTAGCTGTGTCCTGCACATGCCTGCCTATCTACAGTGTACATACCTCTGTGCTTGTTCTCATAGTTGTGTGTACCTGCAGAGCTAGAGTAAAATGGCTGCTCTTTGTGTCTCGGACCAGGCTGGTGGTCATGGCGCTGTTGGGCCCCCTGCGCCATTGCAGATAACCCATGGTGTTCTGGTCCAGGTGGCGTGCTGTCATCAGGGAACAGCTCGGCCTCAAACCTCGAGGAGAGAATTGCAAACCGCACTGAGCTGTCAAGAAACTGGACAGAGAGGAGATGAAAGAGAGGACATTGAAAAGACATACACTAGTGTTCAAATGTTATCACAGTAGGTATTTTAGTCCCCTTGTATCAAACAGTGAGACCTTACCACCGTGGAGTGATGTTGCGAAACACCTTTAACCCAATGAGAGGTCCGAGTATGTCTCCTGCACCCAACTCCACCTACAGAGGCAAATGCACAGAAGCACGTGATTGCTTGTGTGACAATCGCTAAAACAATCTGCATTGTCCCATCTGAACATTTAGTAGTTTGTATACGTACCTCTCCCCAGCCCTTGGCTGAAGTAACCCTTCGTACGGTCATGTTAATGTTGCCCCCTCCATTCCCGTTGTGTGTAGAGAGCGAACCAGAGAGCACTGCTGTGTCAGAGTTTGTCAAAGGAGCCTGAAGAAGGACGGGACAGTCACGCCAGATTAAACAAGAGAATCCTACAGTGACCCCGGCTTAGCTGTGTGGAAGTCAACGTCTACGTGAGTTGTGTTTTGTTGTACCTCTATCGACTGGGAAATGTGCATCTTGTTGATTTCAATGTGAGGAAATCCCCCCCCCGGAATCTCTTCAAAGTCCTCATCATAGCGGTCAAACAGGTCTGTTGCATCTACGCCCACGCTTATTGTGCCCTGAATAACAAGAGAAGGAGGAAGAGAGACTGACCGAATTAATTAACAGAGAGAAGGACACAACAAAATGAATGTGGAAACCATCTAAAGTTAACATGAATATTTTTATACAATGTATTTAGAGATATCTGAATACAAGAGGCAGCCAACACAACAAATATAATGAAAGTGGTGAAGTTGACAGATGAATGCAGTCTAGTTGTGGGTGAGAAAACCTTGGGGTTAGTTCTTTGCTGCAGTCTCCTCTCTTCTCTTTCTCTCTGCAGCCTTTCGTATTCCTCCCTAATTTCTGCTGGAGTTCTCTTTCTCTCCACCACCTACACAGCATCGTCACCATAAGGAATTGGTAATGAAGATATGTTAATGTTACGTAGAATAATACAACAGCAAAAACACAAAATGTTTATGTTAGTACATAAACATTTTAAATACCTCCCAACCTTCCACCTCCAACCCTTTCTTCCCAAAGATGTCATAGATGGCTCTGGATTGAGCATCACTCAGCACTGAGGGTAAGAACAGCATTACAGTAAAGTTTACAAAGGGGATTTGTGTTTTTGTCTGGTTTCTCTGTGCTTTCAAATTATATATTTTATCTGTTACCATGCCCTGTTTCATTTCATCTAGATATGTCTATTTCTTCGAAGAATATCCAAACAAATATAGAGCTAAATGCGTCATGTTCCTAAATCTCCATTGGTGCATTTCTGCGGGCCAAGTATCCTTACCTTCATACGCTTGGTGCACCTGGTTGAAAAGCTGTTCGGCCTGGCTTTTCAGCTGTGGGTCTCGATGTTTGTCAGGATGGTAGAGCATACACAGCCTGCGGTATGAAGCCTTTAGCTCTTCCAGTGTAGCCTGTGACAAGAGAGTGAGTAAGTGTGAGAACAGTTATTTTTATCATTGACTAATCTGCAAATTATTGGTTAACTGTTTAGTCTATAAACTGCCAGAGACATTTAGGTTAAATCATATTAATGGCTTTTTGTCCAAACAGTTCGATTTGCTATAACATTAAAGTAGGAGATTTTCACATTTGAAAGGCTGGGACATACAATTTTATTGCAAAATAATGAAAAACTTGATTTAATCAACAACCAATTCCAGTTCCACTCCTGGGTGCTGACCCAAAACAGATGCATTTAACCATCTTTTTTTTTTAAGGATACTGAAAAACGGCTATAGTCTACTGACATTAAACACAAAGTTGAAAGTATGAACGTGTAATTCCTGGTTGGCTGCGGTGTCTGACATTATGCAGGTGAACGTCCAAGCATTAGTCCTTGGCAGGCCTCCCAATCTTATTAAGAACTGAGGTTTGAGACGGAAAACACTTTTGCAAACACAAAAACACCGCCTTCATTCGAGTAAAGTAAATGATGAAAAAACGCAGCTTTTAATGCCTCTGCTGAATCTCTCACACTCTCAACCTCCACCGGTGATGGTGCTGATGAAGAAGACCGTTATTCAACTGGAGGATGATACACCGACCGCAGACCGGTTTCTCAATGGAAATCTACCGGACAGTCACAGCAAAAGTTCCGTCACCATTCGGGTCCAATGCACAACTCATCAAGCCATACCTCTTTCCTGACGTTGAGTAGAGAGTAGTAGTCCTGGTTATCAGACTCAAAATCATCATCTAAGGACGCCGCCATGTTTGCGTTTGGTATGGTCCTGCCCACCCCTCCAGTGATCTTGAAGCTCATTGGATGATCAAGTTGGAAGCGGAAGTTACGCTGTCGCCCTCTACTGGTTGTGTTTGTTTCTGAGTTTAGAGCTGGAGAGGTTTGATGCGTCCACATAAGGAAAACCATTTTGGGTAATCTTTTAAAAATATTTATATTATTTACACTATTTACATATCTATATATCAGTTTACAATTATGGTTGTGTGGTATTTGGATCAGCGGCAAAAACTGCATTACAGAAGTTGGAAGTGGCACAATCCAAAGCTCTGGGACTATGTTGTTTTGGTTTTAGAACAAGTCTTGTGTTTGCTCCTTAGGTAGAAGTGGACGAGATAGTGGTGCATTTGAAACGCAAGCTCTTAATGTTGATACTATTGGGACAATATGTTAGTACATTCTGGAAACTAGCATCCAACCACAAAGGTGCTTCTGTCATGTGGGGAAAGTGAAAAGGCCATACATGACAGCACTGCTCTGCAGTTGAAAGCTTGCAAGAGATATGATATTAAATAAAATAACATTCACTTCTACAGTACCGCTATCAACAACACCAGCATGGCTATTTACCCTTAGTATCAGTCTTTTTTTTTAAAGCCAATGCACAAATATTTGTAATATATTTGTATATTAATATTGTCTGTCGAATATACAGCCGACAACATATCAATAATTTACCCCAGCATGCACAGATGGATCTAAAGATTTAATACAGGTAGAACTGGTTTGGCTGACCATTCCGTCCTTGCAATATGAGGTCAAAAGGAGAACACCAGACCATCTGTCAGTGCATACGGGTGAGACATTGGCCATTTTAGCAGCACTGCAGTGGCTGGAGCAGGTTCAGATCAGAAAGGTCATCATCTGTTCAGATTCCAGGTCACCATTAGTGGCTTTAAAATCATTTAGAACTCATAGCATGACTTAATCAATGAAATATACTAAATACTGTCTCAACTTAAATATTCAGGCATTTTGGTACAATGTGGGTTTCCTGGCAAATACAGGGTTAAAAGGAAAGATAATAGCAGATAAATTAGCAAAGCAATCCACAGAATGTCAGCACAATACAGATATTTTATTTAGCAAAACAGAAGCTTAATCAATAAAAAAAACATGATTAAGGAATGGCAGCACAGTTAGGACGCAGGCGACACACACAGGAAGACATCTTTAGGCCATTCAGAAAGACGTTGGCAAAGGGAGGACATCCAGAGGAAGCACCACCGAAGAAAACATATTAACCAGACTGAGGAAGACTGAACAAAACAATGCAACAAATAAATAAACGAGGACTGCAATATAGCAGAAACGATGGAGCATATCATTTGTCATTGTCAAAAATGTACAATCGAGCGAGACCAGCTAAAGAGGAGGCTGGCAGTAGCGGAAGTAGATTTAAAGGATGTATTGACCTTGGAGCCAGGAAAGGGTGCTACAATACCTAAAAGAAAAAGGATTTAGTGAAAGGATATTTTTAAAGGGATATGTAACTCACTCCAGTTCAGTGGGTGGTGGCAATGCACATTTTGTTGGATGCCATGCCCCATTACACTTAAAAGAAGATGAAGAATGTTTTTCATTTTTGACGTTTTGTAATTGGCAGTGTGTGGAAATGTTTTCAGTCCACACTCAACCTTAAACTCTAAACCCTGAACCCGCAGGGACTTAATTGATGTCACCTGCTAAATGGTTGATTGTGAAAGTCTGTGAGGGCTTTAAATGGTGTAACTATGAATGCTGGTACATGTCACATCACCATGACAACATACGAAAACATGGTTTACAATTAAAGGCATTTATTTCACCTTATGATTTGCTTTTTTGTCACAAAATGATAATGGTAATGGTAATTTTAAATCATGTTTTATTTTTTCCTATTTGCTTTGATCATAAAATTCAATATTTTATGAATAAGGTGTGCCATCCTCTTTGTTTGTCCTTTTTTTAAGTCTCAATGGTTCCCGTTTTTAACTTCACATTGCAATGACTTGTGGGACAGAAATAAACCCTCACAGAGTTAGTGGGAGTGGGAGTGGGAGTCCGTAGGGTGGTGAGATAGGGCCTTCCTTTCTACTGAAAGCACTTGGTAAACTATTGTCTCGCCAAAAATATTACTCAATCCCTATTGGCTGGTCAACCACAATTGACAAATGACTTAGCTTAACATGAAATATAAAAAAGGAAGAAAAAAAACGTTCATGTACATGCAGTGGGATTTGATTGTTGTGTTTGAGTAATAAAATAAAAGTTAAAATGACAATGGCTGCTCTCCAAAGAAGTTCCAGTTGAGATTGTGCTTTGGGACTCGCTACCGACTATAAGAAGACATTTACAAACAAATTTAGCATGCAGTTGGCTTATTAGCAAGATAATTTATCATCATTTTGCTAATTGCCACATTGCTGAATCTGGGGCTGTTGTGGGGTCTAGTCCCCGGGGCAGTTGCCCAGTTTTCCAACTTAGTAATACAACTGTGTTTCCTGTCTCAAATTTTTCCACAACACTCTGCTGCCAGTAGATCTACATGTTCTCTCATTTTAAATGCCTGAATTGTTGCAGGAATTGTTTTTGTGCAGAGGGGGGGGCAAGCTAAGCCTTCTCTGCTGACCTTAATAGAATCACAAAGTTATAGCTATTGTCATCCTTTTTTATTATAAATACATATATTATAAATATTTTTCCCATTAGCTTATTTCTGTCATCGCACAGCTCTTTTATTCTTTGTTGCTCTGTTTGCAGCCTTCAGCGCTGCTTCCAGTGCAGCTTGTTTTAAAGAAATCTTTTATCCAATCAGGTCCGGCAGCTCTGTCTTTATGTAAGAGAGGCCCGAGGTCCTCTACTGTAGATATGCTTTGCACATCAAAGTGTATGGGGAAGATATTGTTGATTGCCATTGTCTTCAACTAATCAGATCTTTGGTTTGACATGTTGGGCGTATTCTTTGATTAATGTGTCTTGATGTCGGTGGGCCAGAGTGACGTCTGTCAAACAGAAAGCTAGCTGGCAGGTCTTAATATTTAGTTGAGTTCAGCTTGAACTTTGTCTGTAAATAGTGAACAGCATTTGATAAGTAAACTGCTTTGGTGTTTCTACATTTGCAGTAGCGGGTTAATTGATGTATTGTGTTTAGTTCAAATCTTACTTCTGATGTAAATATTTTTGAATGGCCTGTGCTCTGAAGTGTGCGCTGTTTTAATGCTATTTCAATTTGAAATGTCTAGTAAAGCATTGGCCAAACGTAAGTGCATTGTAGTCCACAGCTTTATTATTTATAAAAAATGCCAATTGTCTAGCACGGTTCTTTCAACCGACAAGGTTTTGAAAGTTTCAATCGATTGATATTTTTTAGCTTAATATCATATACATGGGCTTTCCGTGGTCATCCATGTCAACGGAGGTGATGTCTGTCAAACACAAGGCTCTGGAGCAAGGCAATATTTTACATCGTCAGAGGGTTTAAACAAAAAGGTGCCGGTTGAAACCCGCTAAGAAGGAATATCTTAACACTGGAATCACAAGTAATACACAATGTTGCAGCGATTTCCCGCTGGGGATAAACAGATAATGAGAGGAGACGGGGACGCGTCCTTCGTTTTACCCGCTATAAGTTTTCACGTGACCTATATTATCCCTTTCAGTTCAATATACAGGGCTCAAAGAAAGCAGCGCGTAAGCGAAGGCAATGTCACCGCGTGTGGAGCTGTCCTTTCAGCACCACCTCGAAAAACCGCACATCTGCTTCCAAAGGAATCACGAGGATTCTTATGTTGGTTGTAACTTGTGGCGAGAAATTGCGTTTTGTCCAACAGTCCACTGAGTTTGCATGTGGAGAAATGAACGCGCGCGTCGGTATGTGTGTGTAGGGGGTATTGTGTGTGTGTGTGTGTGTGTGTGTGTGTGTGCGTGTGTGTGCGTGTGCGTGCGTGCGTGCGTGCATGCGCTCGCGCGTGTGTGTGTGTGTGTGTGTGTGTGATGATGCTGTGGGAGCCTGTCAAGGTGTCCTCGAATACAGACGTCGTCCAGTGACGTGAGAGAGTGCGAGAATGAGTGCGCGTGAACTTTAAGGGGCGGGGCCAATGGGAACCAACGGAAGGGATGGAGACTTCCACGCGAGTCACCGTCCCGGATTCTCTCAGTTTGGACCAATAGTAGCGGCGGGCTGGAACTCCCCCTCTCCCCTCCTGCCTCCTCCCGCACAACCACTTTCTCTCAGCCCCGGCCCCTCCTTGAGCTGTCCTCTCCGTGCACGACGCGTAGTCCCTCCCCCGCCCCCACCACCTCCTCCACCACCACCACCACCTCCACCACTAGGTCGAGTCTAAGAGGAGGAGGAGGTGGAAGAGGAGGAGGAGGAGGGATGAGGCGCGCGGTGGAGGGGAAATGGCTGCCGAAAACAAGCCGGAAGGTAAGAGAGGAATAACGGTTTTTATTTGAAACGGCAGAGTCCCGCTTCTCGGGGTTCAGACGAGGCGATGTAGGGACGAGGCACGCAGGGGGAGAGAGATAACGGCGGGGCTTTCCCTTTCTTCTAGCCCGTACTAAAACACGGACGCAGGTGCTGAACCAGCGACTATGTGGAGCACGGTTACCCGACCAAATAAATAACAGGAGCAGAGTTGTCCCGTCGGTGAAGGCTCCGAGCGAGTCGGAATAGGGCCGTTTTTCACCGTCCGACGCTTGCCAGCGTTTCCCCCCGAGCAGCTGGTTCACGAGTGCTTTCGAAGCGTTTAGCATAAAAGGGATGGGGATGAGAGTGGTTCACGCTGAAGGAATTCAGATGCTTTCTCTCAGTGTGTGAGCGTGTGTGTGTGCGTGTGCGTGTGTTTATCCGTCTCTATCTGTGCGAGCATGAAATGGACCATTGTATTGTATGATGTACTTTTCTGACATGCATGCAAGCTCCCAGACACGCATTTATGTCTCGGTGCATTCATTTAGACACATTCCAATGTTGGTGTGTGATGGCGTGTGTGCATGTGTTTATGTTTGTGTTCATTTGATGTGTGCTCCTGGTTGCTTAGGCAGTGAAGGTAAGAATCTGGATGCCTTCGGAGAGAGGAGGGGGAGGTGGTTGTCTACGGTTTAAGTCATCTATGAATGTAGTTTATGTTTTTAAACTCCCTCAGTTAAACTCTTGGGGGTCAATAAATTGTCACACTCTGCAGCGACCATTTCATTTTGACTGTTCCGACTGCTTTCGTGAATTATTTAAGAGATGACCATAGTCACCATACCAATCCTCACCCCCAGATAAACTCAAGGTTAATGAAATCTTTATTTATCACTAGTGCGTTTGACATGTCTTTACAAGCATCATGGCGTATTCTGCTGTAGTTATTGCTTTTGTTTTCAGTTCAAAGAACTGATATCTCTTCCCCCTTTCAAGCCGATAGACACAACATCTGAATCTGTTGTTATGGTTGACACAGTTCCTCAGAAACTGAAGAGCTGATCTGTTTTATTAGACTATTCCAATTTTTTTCTTGTGATCTCTTCCAAAGCCATGTGGTAATAAACATGGAAGGAAGAGTCATTAACCATCCCTCCACTGGGAACTGATGTGAGCAGGACTTCTCTACCAGGGCAATTTACTGACAAAAGTAGCATCATACAATTTTGAAGCCCATGATCAGGTGTAAAAGTCAGACACGCATAGAGACGTGGAGGCGAGCATGCGGAGTGCAGCCAGAGGCAAAGGGAAGGCCGTGGGTTGAGAGTCCCGTTGCGTGAAAAGACTAGAACAGAAGAGACAGATGGCCAATGGGCAGATCAGCAGGCACTACCACATAAATATAAAACCATCTCCCTGGCCATAAATTACTATACCCACACACACACACACACACACACACATACACAAACAGACTTGTTTTTTTTCTCATAAGAAAATGAAAACATTTACGAGCTTCAGCTGTGCTGAATTGAAGCCAAAATGAATTGCAGTGTTCACACAGGCAGGAGATAGCTGTGCACTCTTTTCAGTTCCATCCCCCGCCAGATGTGCGTGGCGCTGATCAGCAGAGTATACCAGTGGGCATGAGAACAACATCCACCATATAGCCTGGTAGACCATCTCCCTCTGTGCTGGTTGGTCTACTTTGTATCATAGCAACAGTGGTCAGGGAAACAGAGAAATGATGAGAGAGAAGAGAAACTAAAGCTGGGTACAAGTTAGTCACACACATGGAGGCAGTGTATCTACTGTGGCTAATCGATCAGAGACACAATGGAGGCAAGTTAGTGGATCAAAAAATGGATCAAGCCACATGCTTTGAGTTTGTTTTGAGGCTTAAAAGGAGGAAGAATGAATTTAGGTGTGCGACCGCTAAGGAGACCAAAGTCTGGAGCGTCTCCTAAATATGTCTCTGTCTTTGTCTGTCGCGCTGCTTTTTTGTCTCTTTTGTAGGATTGAAGAAGATAAGAAATCCAGAGCGAATGGTCCGGATTGCTGTTGGTTACACAGGACACACCCCTCCCAAGAGTGACGACACTGACGCCAACAGTAAGAGACACAGAAACACTCTTCACACTGTTCGTGCATGCGCATGCACACTTGTCTGTGGCACAGGGTGACTGCTGGAGCAAAGTATAAAAGCCTTCTGGCAGAACGATGTGATGCTGGGAACTGACTGAGATCTCCTTCTCATCTGCTCTGTAACACATCACACTAACACATGCATACACACCCACACGTACACAAAACAAACACACTGTGTATCGGTGCTGCGACGTCATTCCGTTTCAGCTCTCTTACACATCATGTTTATTTATACATGGCAGTACAGTATTAGCGGGCACACGCACGCACACACACACACACACTCACACACATGACCTCACACAAGCCTACATTACTCCACATAGCCAATCGAGAAGGCAGCGCTTACTTTGCCCATCAGTAGTTTATTGTCATACCTAATCTGTACACATGGCATTATGTGTCCATAATCCTCAATGGGCCTGGTTAAACTAAAGGTGAGATGGAGTGTGTAATCTGGGGTCGCCGCATGGTCGTGTCTGAGTGCGACTTTGTCTGGGAATGTGTGTGATTGCTGCAGCGTATTAGAGGGACTATAAAGGCAATGATTGCTTTGATTTGTTATTGATTTCTGAGGACTTGACGCAGATGCATTTCTCTGCCTCTGTGTAAATGTGTGTGTGTTCTTGTGTTAGGGGGACAAATTGGAGGAAAATACACAGATGTGAGGAGGAGCAGACTGACATGCTGTTTAGTGCAGTGGTGGTGGTGGGGGTATGCACACATGCACCCGAACCCTTTTTTTCTTTTCAAAAGGAGCAGCTGGCCTTATACCTACACAGGATCCTCTCATTTTGTTAAGCGAGATGAGAGCAAATGAGACGAAATAGTAAATAAACTGTTTTAAAAAAAAACATAGAATCGAATAGAACAGAGAGTTCTGTTTGGGATGGCAGCTTAACATGAGCAGAGCCTGCCACTGTCTCCTATCTGTTCTCACATCCCAGCTGGAGGATTACTGGAGGAAAAGTTTATCAGCAGAATGATAAAATTAGCATGCATGCCCATCTCTCTACGCCCTCCTTACCCCCCCCCCCTCCCCCCACACTCACACACACCCTCTCTCTCTCCCCTTCTTCCCGCACTCATCCCATGCTATGCTCCCCCTTTTTTTCTCCCTGGCTCTCCCTCCTGCCCCCCACCCTCTATCTAGCTGCTGGGCAATGAGCCTTTCTTTCTGTCACATTAATTTCATCCCGAAAAAGGGGAAAACGTGAAAATTTCCCCTGACGCCTCCTAATATCAGTAAGGGGAGAGTTAAGAGAGCATTTTCTCTGTCTTTACTGACGAGAGTTTTATAATTAACTGACAGCCATCTCACAAGGGCATTGGCTTGTTTCTGTGTTAAATATGGAGATGACAGTTTTATGAGGTAAAATATTCATCAGTCAGAGGCCACTCTTCTATGTGTTTTTCCAGTCTAATTTATGGCATTTGAAAGCAATGTTTCACTTTGGTCAAACATTTTCACTTTTTAGCTGGTACAGGCCGTGATTTACTGAGCCAGCTAAGCTTTTCAAATTAGCATTCCGGCATTGTCACTCTTTTGGACTTTTTTCTTACTAGATTAGAAACTGAGTGAGTGATCTGTGTAACGGGAGATATTTGTGACCTATCGCTGAGGGACTCACATAAACTAATGCGGGTATTGAATCTATACTATTTCAAATATATATGAGCAGCACATAATTGACATATTGAGTTGTGTTTTCCCCGTGTCCCGGGCTGGTTCATCCTCTTGGGTAGGCAGAAAGAGAAAAGAAGTTTTCGTCCAATGTCACACCAGCTCTGTACAGCTCCACGGAGAGCCATTTGGAGCAGATGGAAAAAGACAATTGCGTCAGTACCCAGACTGAATTTCTTAAAACAGGGGCGCATTTGCTGGTTCAAGATTGTTAGAAACACAAGATACAAGCCTTTGGGGTCTAAAAGCTCATCAGCATTCAACAAATCTGTTGGTCTTGCATAACTTGCCTTTGCTCAGCGTGAAGAGTAAATGTGAGGTTAAGACAACGGTCGAGTTGGTGAAGGTGTACTTTGAAACGGATTTCGGTGCCAAGGTCACTGGTCTTTGCTTTGATCGGAAGGCATTGTGTGTGTCTGTGTGAGTCTTGCGCGTGTGCGCTTGTGTCTCTGTGTGTGCTTATATGCATGTGCAACGGGCTTGTTTGATGTGGTGGTTCTGGTACATTTCAAAGGAGAGGCTCTGATGAGAATTCTTCAGAATGGGAGGGAACGGGGTTATAGCCAGGAGGGGTGGGGTTTAAATGCTGATTGGCATTCATGGCAGAAAGGCTGGAGTGCTGCTAAAAAAGAAATTAGGCTTTAACTAAGCTGCACCATTCAGCTGTTTAACTAAGCTGCTGCACAGTTCAGCTGTTTGAAAATGTGTCTTCTCAGGCCGTCTATTAATAAATACATAATTGATTGGGGGGGGGTTATACGTGCTTGAACACACCTCCTACTGACACAAACGCGCACTTGCTCTGACATCTCCACACTCAAATAAGCACACACATAGACCCCACGTCCCTGTGTTACATTGTTCCATCTCCTGGCCATGTGAGATTTTCACTTTTTAAACCTTCTTCCGCTTCCTACGTTTCTTTTTTCTTCATTAACAATCTTTCTCTGGCTCATTGTCTCCCTGCCTCTCTCCGTCTCCCAACACCTATCTCTCCTTTTCTCTCGCTGTGTCGTCTGCCCCCAGGTAGAGTATAATTCCTATCTTCCCAGGGGAGTCATGAATGGACGCCCTCTACTCAAATGCTTATCAATAACCTTTGAGTGCTTGCTCTCTTTGACTTCTGAACGGCACAGCCGTTGGGCACACTAACAAACAGACGCTCACACACACACACACACACACACACACACACACATGCATCTACACAGCATGGGGTGGTGAAGAATATTACCTTTTTTATGTCTCTCCAAAATAAGTCTCCCATGCTTTGCTTGACTTTTCAGTTATATGTTCTTTCATTAGTAGTCACATTGCATTCCACTTCTACAAAAACAAGTATGTTCTCTTTTAATTAAAGGATATGGTGTGATGTATTCTTGTCAATAAAACCACATATCATGAAAGATTCAGAAACGACTAATAATATGTTGATTCATCTCTCAATACAGAAATACTAGATTTAAATATTTCAACACTTCGAACCATCTTTTAAAACAGCTGAGCAGCAAACACATTCGGTGCTCTAGTGCAGTCCTTCCCAATGACTGGGTCGGGACCGACAGGTGTGTTACAGGAGATTAAGTTTGGGCAGATTTTTTCATGGTCTTTTATTAAACATTTATTTCTGCAGTACTCCTTTGAGCCGCATGGGGGATTGTGAATACTCGTGATGATCTGGTAATTGTAGCCAACTTATAACATTGAAGCTGGTATGAAAGGCTACCATAGTGTCTGCTCATTTAACTGACTAGATGTCTGTTAACTCAGCCTAAATACATTTATTTGGGCCCATTTATGAATTAACTTGTGTTCAACAACACATTCACAAATCAAACTCGGGATTAGTCAACATATAGCTCTTCTAAATGGCTGCTTTACCTGATCAAAATAGATATAGGTTGATATGGAAAAGGCAGTAGAGATGGTCAGGAACATTTATTTAAACACAAATCACAAATTCACTTAAAATCATTTATAGTTAAGGCCTATTGTTAATTCAATTGTGTGTCGTCTGAAAATAAAGTTCAGTTAAGTGACTATTTAAAGCGGCAGAATGGTGTTTATAGGATAAGAATAGGAAAGAATTACAGGATGTCAACAAACATGATTTAAACTGGAGACTAAACATCTCCTGCCTGTAGCAACGTTTGGGCTGCTCTATATTTGCAGTTGTCTCTCTCTAGCTCCCGTACAGGAATATTATTATTTCTCTCAGGAGGAGCTAGTCTACAGTCTCTGCTCCATTACCAAACTGTCATTATAACACTGTACGAAGAGCATTGCTTTTAAAATGGATAAGATAAGCCTATATGATTGGCCATGATTGTTACAAACCCCCAATGCACTGATAATGTATGATAATGGATTCTACTAAATCAAAATCTGTTTCCAGATGGGACGCAGGTGGGACCCAGGTGCGCTGTGCCCCTTCACCCAAAATAAGTGCCTCGCCACTCCCTCTGCGCCCTGTATACTTAACAATTATTTAGTATCATGTATCTTGATTTCAAACATACTCGTCACGGCAAACACCCACATTTCTAAGATGCCTCACTGAAAGAACACAGACATTTCATCACTGCCACAAATTCTCAGCTGATTTCTGATGAATCAGAAATCCCGGGAAGTTAGACCCAAATCAATTAAAGCGTCAGAAGACTGAAAATTCAAACGCAGATTCACTAATATAAAGTTACATTATCCATTAAATAGACTTAATTAAAAGCCTGTTATGATTTTATTCACCCAGATCACAGAGATGCTCCTTTTTTGGTATTCTCCTCACACAATGTTTCTGTGTCTGATGAGAAATTTCTCTCCTCTTCCTACTCATCCCTCATTTATCTTCCTTTATCTTCACCCCCCCGCCTCCCCTCGCCCACCTCCCCCAACTGCTCCAGATGAGCCAGGCCAGTTGAAGATCTACCTTCCTAAGAAGCTGCTAGAGTGTCTGCCCAAATGTTCCTCTCTGCCCAAGGAGCGCCATCGCTGGAACACCAACGAGGTGAGACTTTGAGGGAAATACCCGCAGCAGTGAGATGAACGCAGTGTTTTTTTCTCCTGGTGACTCATCTCTTGCTAATGTCCCATTGAGCGATGAAGAGGAGGTAAACAAACACAATGGAAACTTTTTATTATGGGACCGTAAAACTGTGACAGCAGGAAATAAAGGCTCAAACAAAAGAAATAGCAAAGAGCCTAAACTCCAACTGACTATATATCACATTTGGTGTGTCGCTTTCTTGCTTTGTAATCTAAGCAACTTAGGGTTAAGGATAGGAATCGGGCCCCATCGTGTAAAACTACATACGGCTTAGCGACTACAAACAAGAAATGAGGCTGCAGATTGAATGTTTCCACTGCAGAGTGTTAGTGGGTTCAATAACCCTATGGTCAGTAGGATAAAGATTGTTATTGTGAACCTAACATTGTTGCTATGCAACCAAAGAACACTTCTAAATATGTAGCAAATTTTGGCTCATAGTTTTAGCAACATGATGCTCCAGTCGTGTAATGTTGTCCTAAAAAAAATAAAATGCAGACAAAAAGCTGTCTGTGAGGAATAAACACAGAAAGCAGTGACCGTTCAGAGTCAAGTCAAAGTAACTGAGAGGCTTTTCTTCACTTCACTTTCGTCAGAATTTACCACATTAAAAGACTGTTGACGATTTCACACAAACTCCTGGCTACCACTCATCAATATAGTTTACTCTGCTCTTGGGCAGAATTAGCATCATGTTTGCTGCATTATCAAAAGATAACTTCAACTGGGCTGCTGGCTAAGTGGTACAATGAGGCCAAATTAGGTTGGGGCCACTCTTTACTCATGGCCAAAGATAACCCTGAGCTAAACATTTTGAGGTTTGAAAAGCTTTTCCGAGTTGCATGTTGTTCAAGACTTAAGCTGTTAGCTTAGGCAAGTGTTTGATGGTTGGAAATGGATTCAGGCATTTATCGTCAATAGCTCCTTGTTTATGCATTGCACAGTTCACCACCGGTGGTTTGCTCCATCCATTGTGATGTTGTTGGCCTCTGCTGAGACATTTTCTCCATGTGCAGTCTGTGCACTATATTATGGATGTGTGTTTGTGTTATTGATTACCAAGTCCAGCATTATTATGCAATGCAAAGCTGATTTGGCCTGTGGTTTTTCTCTCAGGGAAGTCATTACATTTTTCATGCAATCCATCTCAATGAAGGTCATACTGGGAGTTAAGCACGGCGCCTACTGAATAGTGCGCTCACATGAATAGACGGTGTGTGCGTGCGTGTGTGTTTGTGTATGGTACAGAACAACGAAACCGCTGCCTGTCAGGGACTTCCACACATCAGCCTAACCAGCAATTGAGCACAAGTCGCAGAGAGCAGACCGAGGCACCTTGTTGCTACTCCCTCTCCTGCACTCTCTGTGTCTCCCTTCCAACCTACCATCTAGTACTCTCTATCTTTATCTTTCAACCCCCCCATACACCCTCTTCCCTCTGCCTCTCCCTCTCCATTGCTCTCTCTCTCTCTCTCTCTCTCTCTGATGAGGAGGTGCAGGCTCAGTTCAGAGGGAGGTTGGGTGTCCCTCAGCGGATTCCTTCAAAGCTCCTCTTCCACCCATAAAGTTTCCTGCATACTTAAACACCCCATTGTGTCCGCTGCTCCTCTAGCTTGGTGCTTTGGTAGGGGGGCTTGTCGTAGGGTGAGCAGTATACATGCTGTGCGTCGAGTGCATGTATGTTTTTCCTTCTGTGTGAGTGTGTCCGTAAGGATATGTACAGCTCAAGATTATTGCAGCCGATTATTTTGAAGCTGCAGTAGAAAGAATTCATTTTTTTGTCTGCTTGTGTTGATCTGTGTATGTATTGCAGACATTGCAGGAAGTATAGCAGTTTTCTGAAATTGTCATTGGTTATCAAATTAAAGACACATTCTAGGGTTTTACAGAGCGTAGATTGTGGCGTAATCTAATACGTGGGATTTTATGTCAGCCTGCGAGTCATCTGTCAAATTCAAAGCGTTCAATTTATTTATTCATTTGCATCACCTTAAGTTGTGTGTTCAAATATAATGTCTTCCTGGATGTTACTTGTGACGTGTGGTGATGTGTTATAAACAAGTGGTGTATTGAAAACGCCCAGTAATTATTCGGTGTGTAGACACACCGGTGTGTCTGCGATTGGGTGTGTGTATATATTTGCGCCTTGGTGGGTTTCCATACAATACTTCATTTTCATACGCTTACGCATAAGAAAATCCAAAATTGGTTTTGTGTCTCCTCACTGTTGTTTGCATGAGGAATTAGGATTATCTTTAGAGAGTGTGTGCGTGCGTATGTATGTGTGTGTAAGTGTGTCCGTGTGTGCACTTCTGAATAGGAAGAGATAGATAAAGAGATTACCATTCTGTGTTTGGATGAGGATGCCTTTGATTAAGTCGGACCCAATCTTTACAAGTCTCTCTCTGATATGTCCTTATTCTCACCTTTTACTTGGCAAGAGAATGTCTGTGCATGTGTGTGTGTGTGTGTGTGTGTGTGTGTGTGGTTTCTGGGTGCATGAGCATGTGTGTGCGTTTGTTTTCTTGTCTGTGTGCGCGATTGCATATGACTCTCTGATCTCTGTTTTGTCACGCATGGCTCCCCCCGACACCTTGGCCTCCCACAAGCACTGAGCTGTGACCCCATACATTTCTACCCCATCTACGTCTCCTCTTCTCTGTCCGTTCCTTTCTTCTTTCGTCTCTCTTTCACTCTCTTTTTCACTCTCTCTCTCTCTTTTGCGTATCTACTGATGTGTGAAATTATTCTGGGATGGAGGGATGGATTCCTCCCTGAAGGGCTGAGTGGAGGCGTGAGCCTTTTGTTCAATAATAGATTGGGGGTGTATGTGTATCTGTCCGTGGTAATAGACTATAGACTAGTTTTAGATAACAAACCACACTCAGGTGGACAGACCGATGGTAGAGGCTGCTTTAGCCATCAGTGGAGAATGACTTGTTGAGTTCCAGCAAATTCTACGGAGCAGTGAAATATGGGGGCTATACAACTTTTTCAAATGTAGACAAAGAAAAACTTTAGACTCTGGTCCTGGGTATTGCTGGTGAAAACATATAGTTACTGTTATGGGGGCCCCCTTGACATCCTCACACAAGAAGACAGGGACAATACTAACTTACACTCCCTTTCAAAAGCTTACATTTTAACTACAAAACATGCACTCATGAGCGGCTGAGCATGCCATGTGCATTTTAAAGGCCTCTACTTCAGAGCGTCCCTCCCTCCCCCGCTACTGTGACTCAAATGATGCAACTGTCAAATGGGTCGGTACAGACTCCAGTACATCACACAGACGACAGCCGCCTGTGCCACAATGCCTCTGCATGTGATGTTGCTCAATTGTACGGGTGCAGAAAGCAAGTGTCAGAACATGTCATTATTCTGGTAACGATATGAAATAATATGAAATGAAGCATGCAGTGTTTTATTGTGTAAGTCTGCTCTTGTCATGCTGTGATATATTGATAGCTGCGTGGTGTGAAAGCAGCAATTGACAGTTCGCACACGCGTCTGGCTGGCGGTGCCGCTGTATGGCGCTAACATGATTGCCTGACTGAGATGTTGATCAAAAAGCATATACATTTTATACCACTAACCCATCTGCCTCCCGTGTATGTGCGTCTGCATCGAGGGTAGGTGTTGCCATGGTAACAGATTAGGGGTGGGTGCGTGTGTGTCCCGCTTAATGGTTTGATCGATGTTGCATGTTTGACACGAACGCTGTTCGTGATTGTTCAGTACATTGAAGGTGATAAGAGAAACTTGACATAGCCAGTGTCTGCTCGTGATACCAACCATGTTCGACACACGCACACAAAAATCAAGGACAAAGGCTCTTAATCTCAGGTAAAAATTCCCTCGCACCCACCTCTGTGTCCTGTCTCATCTCAGCTTGTGTGAGCTCAATTTTCCAGCCCAAACAGAGCCCTGTGTGTCATGTGTGTGTGTGTGTGTGTGTGTTTGTTTTAGTTATTATTTGTGTCATTATTGTTGTTTGTGAGCCATTAAATATATACATTGAATTAAATATGCAAGAATTGTACTCATTACCTACAATACTTCACACAAACACGTAGAAAGAAAAGTTACACAGGACAGACAATGTTAATGTCAAAACCACGGAAAAAAGTATAGAAAGCGTCAGCGATATAGTAAGCAGCCAGCCAGCGGCAGGTCTCTGTGCTCCGTTCACACCGCGGTGAAGGGTGCCCTTGATTTATGAATTTGATGTGTGAATTGCTAATGTCCAGCACACACTGGCATGGGACCGGGAGAGGCTGACAATCTCCATTTTGTCTGCTGTGTCAGAACAAAGACAACAGTAACACATCTTTGGTAACTTACCAAGAGTTTCGTTTTTTTTAAGTGGACTGGGTTTGCCGTTCATGTACTTGTTAGATAACGTGTGTTAGCAAGAGACTTGGTGTATCCGTGTCACTGTGTGTGTGTGCGTGTGTGTGTGTGTGTGTGTGTGTGTGTGTGTGTGTGAGCCCATGGCTGTAACCTCCTCAGTTGACATTGAGCTCTGTTCTGTTGCCATTTACCAGAGTAAAGCATGGTTTAATGAGGGGGCAAAGGAGCCAACACACACTCTCACACACGCAGTCACACACAATCCCTCACACATGCTTCTTGCACACATGTTCATACCCAGACATGCGCACAGACACAATACTAAAGGGGGGCTTTACAGCTCCCGGTGTTTGATTCCTATTATTTTATTTTGAATTATTCTTCTGTCTTTTGGGTGGAGAAATATTTTATGTTTGGAGAGCGCCAACTTATAATCACTAATTAGTCCTCCAGGCTCTCCCTCTCTCCCCACATCTCTCTTTTTCTCCGCCTCTTTGTCTATCTCTTCATCTCTCTCTGAGCCGGCATAGCCCAATTAACACCCAATGTCATTTTGTGTCTGTTGTGACTTCCATTTCCGCTCAAACTCAAGGCGTCCATACTCTCCT